TGATGAGGAGGAGGAAGTTCGTAACACCAACTCAGCCATCAGGTAACAGCTTGAGTTGAGGGTGGAGGGGGGGAAAGGGGGGCAAAGGAAGCTTAGTTTTGTGCCCAACCCTTCTTCATAGCCTGCCTAGCTGACCCTGCTGGATTTCCTGGTTGCTTTTGGGGGTGGTGGGGCCTGGCCTGAAATCACTACGTAGCTGATCCATCACTGTACTCTTTGGTTGGATGGCAGAGGCTGAGCTGCATGTAAGGATGCCCAATAGCTAATGAAATGAACACGCTCTGCCTGGAGGCTTCATTTGCCACCAATATAACATGATGGAAAGCACAACAATGACAGCAGAGAAGAAAATCTTAGGCTGCTGCAAGTGAGGATTTGCTCAAATGCAACAGCCATAGGCACAAAATAAAGGAAAGAAGCTGCTTACCTTCAGAAAGCATCAGGTACACAGGGATTTCCAGTAAGATACCCTCACCTCCCCCTGCCAGCCCTTAAATGAGGTCTGGGAAGGGGTGGATCCTGCCTTCACCCCTTCCTGTTACTTAGGTACATTGCATACACCTGAGCTCCTCTGGGTTAGCCCTACCTTCCCACAAGCTGCTCCACCACTGCATCAAGCCCTGATTTACCATTTCCACTACAGTCACCGTGGGGGGATCCCTGCAGCTCAGGGAGGCAAGCTGCTCCCAGAAAAGCTGTTGGCACTGGGGGAGACCTGGAAAATGTTCCAGGCCTCACATCTCAGGTCATCTCAGCAACGTGGCCTCAAGTGCTGAGTGTGGAGCTGGCGGTGCCTGTGCTGCTGAGCTGGGCCCCCTCCTTCCAGCAGCATCACCTTCCCTTCTGCGTTCCTGGGCAGGTACAAAAGGAAGGGGCAGGTAAAGCAAGAGCACCCAGCGGGGGCCGCGGATGGCCAGCTCTCCGTCCTCCAGCCCAACACCATCAACGTCCTGGCTGAGAAGCTGAAGGAGTCCCAGAAGGATCTCTCCATTCCCCTGTCCATCAAGACGAGTGGTGGTGGAGCTGCTGTGGCCATTGTCACTCACTCCCAGCCCTCTCCCACCCCCAGCAATGAGAGCACGGACACCGCCTCCGAGATCGGCAGCGCCTTCAACTCCCCGCTGCGCTCTCCCATCCGCTCGGCCAACCCCACGCGTCCCTCCAGCCCCGTCACGTCCCACATCTCCAAGGTGCTGTTTGGTGAGGAGGACGGCCTCCTGCGCATTGACTGCCTGCGCTACAACCGGGCCGTCAGGGACCTGGGGCCCATCATCAGCTCTGGGCTGCTGCATCTCACAGAGGACGGCGTGTTCTGCCCGCTGGCTGCTGCAGGTTGGTGCCAGCTGTCCCCTGCGGTGGTGGGACCGTGCCCTCTGTTGTGGCTCCTAATGCTTCCTTCCCTTGTGCGCAGACGGGGGGAAAAGCTCCCCCCCTTCCATCAAACCCGGTGAAGAAGCCCAGGTCACCATCAAACTGGACGAGAAGGAGGGCAGTGAGGCCAGTGGCAGCAAAGAGAAGGTGGGACTTGGCAGGACCAGTGATCACCCTGGGGGGGAAAAGTATTCTCCCAAGGTGAGTTTTGTGCTGCAAAAGCCCTAGGGACGTGGAGCCCCCTGCGCTCGCCCAGAGACGCAGCAGCACTGGCAGTGACTGAACCACATGCACACGCTGTCCCACTCGTGCGCCGCTGCGGCCGTGCCTCGAGGCACAGGGCAGTGCAGGTTCTGTGCCGTGTGTCATCCTGAGATCTTCTGTGTTGGCGGTGGGTAGAGCCCCTGCCTCCTGTGTTTGAGATGTGCTCCTTCGGGCCGGAGCCAGGTGGGGCCTTGCCCAGGTCCCTGCCCTCCAGCCACCAGCACATATATGGCTCCCTGCAGGAGAGCTGTCTGGAAAGATGTCTTCTGTCGGTTAGTGAAGCAAACTAGGGCTGGGCTCAGGTAGAATGAACCAAGCTCAGAAGTTCCCTACAATGTACTGTTTTTGCCCCCTGCCAAGTGTTTTTTTCTCTTTGGTGAATCCCAGCTCAGAGAGGAATGCCCCCCGCTCACCCTATAGCTCCCCTGCTGGGTGCTGGCATGCGGGTCTCCATCTGCTCACGTTTGCTCTGCTTGATCCCGGCAGGAGCTGCTGGCACTGCTCAAGTGTGTGGAAGCCGAGATTGCAAACTACGAGGCTTGCTTGAAGGAGGAAGTTGAGAAGAGGAAGAAATTCAAGGTGAGTTTGTCCATGTATCATTTGCATTGCTGGCTGAGCTTCCTGAAGGCTTCTGTCTGTGGCCGCACTGATGGCAAAGCACAGGGCATGTGGTTCAGTTGAGAGCAGCGCAATCTATTTGTAGATCGACGACCAGAGGAGAACCCACAACTATGATGAGTTCATCTGTACCTTCATCTCCATGCTGGCCCAGGAAGGTAAGACACGGGCAGCAGAGCACGAGATTCAAGTTCATCTGGGGCCTCCACCACTGGGCTGCGTGGAGCTTGCTGTGCTTTGAGCTGCGCTCCAGCATCAGTGCTGCCAGCTCTGAGCCCCCTCTGCTGTGCACAGTGGCTGCTTGCAGCTCGGCCTGCAGTGTGTTTGCTGCCTGTTTCCCTGCAGGCATGCTGGCGAGCCTCGTGGAGCAGAACATCTCCGTCCGCAGGCGGCAGGGGGTCAGCATCGGCCGTCTGCACAAGCAGAGGAAGCCGGATCGCCGGAAACGCTCCCGTCCATACAAAGCCAAGCGGCAGTAGCCTTGGGGTTGAGACTGAGAGCAGCTCACCCTCGTGGCTCTGGGCAGTGGCACGTGGATATATGTTACCCTTTGCCTGAGGGAGAGGGACCCCAGCGAGAAGCCTTCAGCTGAGGTGGAGCCTGGGGACAAGCAGAAATGGGGTTTTCCTCCGAGCCCAAAAGGCAGCAAGGCCTTGTCTTGAGGAGAGCCCTGCGGCCAAAGGCGAGGCTCGGTGCCCTGCTGCCTGTCTGGCCGTGGCCACGCTCAGGTGCCTTGGGCCTGTCTTGGGGCCGTGGCTGGTGATGGGAGGAGGGAAGAGCCCACCTGGCCGGGGGGCTGGGCACCACGGGGGCACCGGGGCTGCTGATGCGAGGCTGTGCTGGCCGCAGCTGCCTGGGGTTGGTGCTCTGCTGTGTCCAGGCCTTCAGCTCTGTGCTTCCCCAGGACCCTCACACCTGTGTTTTCTGTTCTTTACCTTCCTTGACAAAATTGATTTTCTGGTTCTGACCTGCTTTTTGGCTGTGGCTGAGCGAAACAGCTCCTGGACAGAACCGCTCTCCAGCACTGTGGCCCTGTGTGACCCCATCTGTGTGCCGATCCCCTGGGGTGGCAGTGCCACCTGTCCCCAGGGCTAGAGTCCCCCCTGGACTTTGTCCCTAGCTTTCTGTGGTGGTGCTGGGAGGGCAAGTGGCCCTGCTTCTACAGCTGCTCTGCTAAGGACCAGCAGTGTGGCCCTGGCAGTGCTTCTGGATCACACACAATTGCTCCTTGTTCCCAGAGAACTGTGAATAAAGAACGCAAGGTTGGTGGCTTGGCCTTGGTGCTGGCGGGCTGGAAGCTGGACCTGGAAGTGCCTGGTGCCCTGAGCGAAGCCTTTCAGTGTAGGAAGAGGTGACGGGAACTTCAATGGCAGGCAGAAATGGGATGGAGCCCAAAGCTGCTTTTCTTGCCCAAGCAGGCTGCAGTGCAGGAGCTTGCTGGCCACACAGACCCCATCCCTGCCCCCCAGCCCCCTCTGTTCTTGCAGAAGGTTTCTGCCCTGTCCCCAGCAGCCGGAGGTTAGCGCCTGTTCTGATGGGGGAAGAAGTAGCTGAGAGGGGGGAAGAGGAACAGCTGCAGGGGGGACTGACTTTGCCAAAAGTGCAAATTTGTACAGATCTTGACCGTGGAATTTTTTTTTTTTTTTTTTTTTTTTTGTACTTGTTGAAGGAAAGAAAATCCTTCTGTTTCTTCTTGCTGTGTCTCATACCAAGTGCTGTATGTAATGGATCTGTCTGAAGGAATAAAGCTCTCCTGTAACAGTCACGGGGGGAGCAGTGTGCAAGGGAGGGGGGAGGTGTGTGTGTATGCAGCTGGGAGCACCAGAGTGAGAGGAACCCCCAGGGCTGGGGGAGAATTGCCAGGAATAGGATGGGGGTTGGGCTGAGGCTGAAACACAAGCAGGGAGAAGAGGCTACCGGGCCTGATAAAGCCAGAGACTACGACTCAGTCCTTGTCTTTCACACTGGGACGTGTGCAAGTGCAACAGGGAGACTGAAAGATAAAAAGGGAAAGATGTTAGAGGCTGAAGGGATCAGGAGTGCAGGTAGTGTTCCTCTCTGACCTCCAGTGCAGATAGGGACCTGACAGGAAGAACAAACCAGGCATGTGGAAGATAGGAAGGTGATGTCCAAGACAACCAGCCCAGCTTCATCAAGGACAGATCATGCCTGACCCGTCTGGTGGTTGAGTCAGCGGAGTGATGGCTATGGTAGAAAAAGAAAGGGCTTGTGCAAGGCTTCTGACATGGTCCTGCACTACTTCCTTATCTCTAAGTTGGAGAAAGATGGACTTAAAGGCTGGACTATTCAACAGATAAAGAATTGGTTGGATGGCTGCAGTTAGAGGGTTGTGCTAGTGGCTCTGTGTCCAGGTAGTGAGTGCTGGAGGGATTCCCTCTTGGGACCAGTGCTCTTTAACAGCATTATCAATGACATGGACAGTGGGATCGAGTGCACCCTCAGCACAGTTTGTGGGTGACACTGAGCTGAGGTGCAGCTGATAGAACAGAAGGGATGCCATCCACAGGGACCCGGACAGGCTCAAAAAGTGGGCACACAAGAACCTAATGAGAGTCAATAAGGCCAAGGGAAAGTGTTGTACTTGGTCTGGGGCAATCCCAGGTGTGAGTATGAAGTGGGAGAAGAACTTGAGAAGGGAGGCTCGGAGGTCCTTTCCAACCCAACCATGCTGTGATTCTAAAAGAGGTCTAATTGTGGGGATTACAAACAACAGAATGCAATGCTGGTGCAGTTCAACTCCATTTGTAATGAAGGGTGTAATGAACAGCTGGGGAGAAAAGAGGAGGAGAGTAGCTGCTGGTGGTCAGTTCCTGCCTCCTGCTGACTTCCCTTACCTGTCCCTGGGGTGGTTCATCTGCCTGGGCAGCTGCTGGCTAGAAGTCCAGGGCGCAGATCAAGGCTGTGCCTCGTTTGATCCAGTGCTTCTCAGGCTTGTCTGTGGGGATCTCCACTGCGATCACGTAGTTGGTGGAGTGGCCCGTTGTTGACAGTGTCCCTGTGAGGAGGGAGGCAAAGGGGCTCGGCGTGGCACTGCAGCCCTGCTGCCAGGGCACAGGCAGGCGCAGCAGGAGCTGTAAGAGCTCCTGCAGTTTCTCCTGGGCTGTCTATCCTTCTAGCCACTTCTAAGGTCTCCTTTGCTTCTGGGGGCTGTCTTTAGGGCACCTACCCGCACGAGTGAGTGTCTTGTAGATGGGGCACAGGTATATGCCAGCAGCTGGAGGCTTGCGATTGGCGACAGGAAGCAGCCAGATGACAGCCATCTCGCTGTACAGCTCCTTGGGACGGGACTCTGCCAGCTGAAACGCAGAGGTGTCCCAGCGGGCACCCTCAAGAAACAAGCCATAGATGTAGCAGCCTTCAGAGGGAGGGCGAGAGAGCTCGCTCGTTGACTCCTTCATCATCTGTGGAAGAGAGTGGGCTGTGAGCAAGGCTTGGCCCTGCAGACCTGTGAAACCCCTTACTCTGCTCTTGGTCAAGGCAGAACTACCAAAGGGAAGCCTGCTCCAGCTCTCAGATATCTCTGGGCTGGGTTTTCCAACAGCTCGGATCATGATGGTGTGGGACAGCTTGAGGAAGAGGCTGTGGAGAAAGGATTTGAGCAGGTATGGAGAGATGGAGAGGTCACTGGTTGCATCATGGACGTGTCTGTGCTGAGGGTGGATGTATCTGGTGCACAGGGGAAGAGAGGATGTGCAGCTACTGGTTCAACCTATTGGGCAGGTCGGGCCTAGAACTGCTGTCTTTGTGGTCAGGCAGCAAATCCCCAAAAAATCCAGCAAAAACAATCTTAACTCCCTTACCTTGAAGCTAAAAGAAATGTTGTCAATGGAGATGACAGACTTCCTAGCAAAGTTTTGCAGTGTGCCGGTGAGAAAGGCCTGAGGGAAGAAGAACCCACTGATCCAGAACACAGAGGGGATCCCGTGGCTGATCCACTTCTGGAGGAATTCAACCCGCTGCACCAAGTCATTCACCCAGGATGCCAAGGGCTTCAGTGATGGGTAGGCCTGTGGGGCACATGGAGAGGAAGGTATTGAATGCAAACAAGGGCACCCTAAAGACCGAGTTGCTGAGAGCTGCCCAAAGCCCAGGGACTCCTCCAGCTTAGGGCTGAGAACCTCTGCGCAAGGCAGGAGACATCTGCAAACCAGAGAGTGGGAGCCTGCTCCATGTGACAGCCCAGCCCAGCTGTGGAGTTTGATGCTCTCCCTGGGGTCAGAAGAACTCCTGGGGCAGCGGTGCTGGTTGGCAAGTGTTACCTTGGTGTTCCACACAGTGGGGACGGAGTTGCTGTACAAGCTGTTGGCCATCAGCTCCAGCTGAGAGGACATCACAACCAGGCCTTTGAGAGCTTTCAGCAAATCCTTCAGCGTCTGAGCAATCACCTCCAGGAGACTGTTGTACCTAAGAGAAAAGAGCTGCTGTTTCTGCAGAGGGATCACAGAACGACCTGGTGTGGGGATTTATCCCCTGCGTCTGCCTGGATTACTGTGCAGTGAGCTTCACATAACCCTTGCTATTCATCCTCTTGGATGGAGCTCTCTGACTGCCCCCAAGCTCTGAACTGCTGACAGTACCATGCAGACACTGATCAGTCGCTGCAGAACAGGGATCAGCTGAAGGCTGGGACAGCAGACTTGATACCTTTCTGCCACCCCACTGCTCAGCAGTGAGGTTCCCCGAGGGGAGCAGGGGCCTGCACATCCCTGTCATTCCCCAAGGGACCAGGACAGGAGGCTGCAGGGAGTTACCTGATGACCTCCTGCACCAGTACTGTGTTCATAGACTCTTCATAGAGCAGAGGGTATTTGCAGATCACCTCCTGCAAGTCCATGGGGGCAGGCAGCTTCGCCAGGATCTCATTTGCAGTCTCCTCCACCAGCTAGAAAGGCAGACAGCAAGCAGGTGAGCACCCAGCCAGCCACGGTTGCAGGGAAGGGGGAGAGCTGACATCTGGATGGCAGAGCCATTGGCTGCTGGACAGGGTGACACTGGCACAGCATGTGAGCGTGTGGTCTGTGCTCACTGCTTGTGCCAGAATTCCAGTGCAACTGGGGAACCCACCTCTTCCCTGCTGCAGCCACCCAGCGTGAATGTCTTTGGTTGCAGCTGCAGGATGGCCCCTAGCAGAGCAAAGGTCTCCTTCTGAGCAAAGGTGATGTTGGCATTGTCATGCAAACCGAAAAGCTCCGGGCTGTCATTGAGCGGCAGGCTCCTGATGTACTGCAGGTATCCCTGGGGAGGAATTGCATTGGCTGTGAGAGATGGAGGGGCTGGGAGGACAGGAACGGGGAGCCCTTTTGGCTACCATGGGCCTGGCCAGAAATAACCAAAGCCAGGGCTGCTCGAGGAGCCAAATGCAGCAGCCTGTAGACCTGCAGGCTCAGGTAGAAGCTAGGCCTTGTCTTATTGTTTGAGCTTCTGACATTTGCAGTTCCCTGTCTCGTGTGGCAGCCAGGAATGGTAATTCACAAGTATGACTTAGGGGCAGTGTCTGTGGGCCCTGAGTTATGCTGGCTAGTGCAGAAGGGGAGGCTGAGGGAGCGACAGCTCCTTTGAGCCACATTTGGAGGCCCTAGCTCATGCATGGCTGGGGAGTTAAATCACACTTGTGTCAAAGCAAATACACATTAAAAGAACGGGCAGCTTGGCAGTGAGCTTCCTGCAGCGTCTCCTGCACAAAGCTCCTCAGGCATTTCAAGTATGTGATATCAAAGTGGTTCAGAGCACAAATGCTTTCAGATGAGGTATGCTGGCAACAGCTACAACCTCCCTCCTGTGCACATCAACAAGATTTTCTTCCTGTTGCTTGAAGAAGATGTAGCTTCCCGAAAGCAGCTGGAGATCTCCACATTCTTTTAAGCTCACATTCCCCCAGGGGAATGGAAATACCGTGGGTTTCAGGGAGAAGCACACAACCTTTGCACTACAACCACTGCCCTGGATCTGTAAAGCTCCATTTCGTCACTCGAGTACTTACATCGAGGTCTGCAGAGCTACTGATCTGCTTGTAGATCCCAGATTCAGAATAGGCAAACTCAGGAGTCAGAACCTCAGGCTTGTAGAAATCTTCCAAAATATTCATCACGCAGCGCCTGTCCCAGTCGTCGGTCACACGGCCCCCGTAGTTGATCTCCCCAGCTGTGTACTTCAGAACCTGTGAGGGATCCCAGAGGGCTGTCCAACCCGTGAGCCATCGTGAGCCATCGTGCCCAGAATGGGTCAGCTCACGTGCTTACCTTGTATGGGATGTCTGTGTACTCGCTCAAGAACATCTTGAGTTGGCTGACGCAGATGCGGAGGTCTCCATCTGTGAACTCATAGGGGATGTTGAACCCCAGTGGTCCAAACTTCCTCCTCTCCAGCATGTTCCCATGGAAGAAGCAAAGTGACAACAACAAGGATTTAAACTCTGTGACCTGTGGGCAGAGAAGGAGGGTGAGGAGATGCTCAGCCTGGGAGGCGACATCCTTGGAAGATGTCTTTTCTGGGACGTGGCAGCAAGCAGAAAATGAGATGTGCTAAGTCACCAACACCAGCTGGAATCTGGAGGTGCAAACCTCAGCCAAGCTGCTGCACTGGGGAAGGCTGTGGGCCTGCTCTCTTGCTCAACGCTGCAGGTGCCTTTGCCAGGCCTCCACAATACTGTTGCTTCTGTTTGTCACAGTGAAATTTCTAATTGGCTTTCACAGAATAGATGCAGGCTTATGAGAGGTACCACCACTCCTTCTCTAGCGTGTGAGAGGGAGGTGATCTTTAAGGTCCTTTCAAACCCCAGCTATTCTATCATTCTGTGATTCCACAGAAGTGCTAAATGAGAACTCTAGTGGAGATCTGAGTCTGGAGAGGAGCGGTGTCCAGGGGGAGAGTGTGCATACGGGACAGCAAAGCTGGGCCTTACCTTGGGGCAGGAATTCAAGAAGTCATCGCTGAAACTGATGTAGGACTTGAGCAGATTGGCTTTGACCCCACGGGGAGGCTCAATGGTCATCTTTGAGCTGTTTTGGAGGATGGACACAGGGAAGCGGTTGCTTGGTAGACTGGTGAGCCAGAGGCGAAAGTCCTGATGCACCTGGAGGATCAGAAGGCAGTAAGTGCTCCTGCACTGACACTCTGCTGTTATGGGGAACCTGTGGCTGGGATGGACCTAGGTCTGGGCTTCTCCCACTGCTCCAGTCCCCCCGTCAGAGAGCAAGCTGCTCAATTAACAGCTTAGTGCGAGCCTCTGGTTGCTGGAACCTTGAGGCTGTGTATGACACCAAAAGTCCCAGAGAATGGAAACTTCAGCAAGTGGTCACAGCAGCTGCAAAACTGCAATCTCAGAGGAGATGAGAGATGCAAATATCATGTCTCCCCACTACAGTGGCCACCAGGTAAGGTGGTTTCTCTGCATCTGCAGAACAGGAGGAACAGGGCTGCATGCTAAGCAATGCAGCTGGAAGAACAGAACATCAGAGTAAGGCACAGCACCCTGCTTACTGGGCACCAGAGCCACCACTGCTGTGTGGGATGGGAGCACAGGGTTTTCTCCATGTTCCCAGCCTCAGGATCACGTCACCTTGTTGGGGTTAATGCCTTCAATGAGTCTCTCCAGTGAAGGCATCCAGCTGGGGGCCAGGTGGCAGTTCTGGAAGAAGACCCAGTTTCCCTGCTCCATGGCACTGGTCATCATGGCTTCAGCACGGGGGCCCTGTGGAGGCAGATGAGAAGGGATCAGATCCTGGTCTTTCAGGCTATGCCCTGCTATGCCAGACAAGGAGACAGCTGCTGGGTGGAAAGATCACTTTCCAGCTTGACAGCTTGGCTTTGTTCCCAGGGTTTGGCTGGATTGTCACCATCTGCTGATGGTGCAACAACGGCCCTTTGCAGCTCAGCAGTCTGTGGGTCACGGTGTAGAAGGTGGAACTGGGGATGTATTAGGAGGATGGAGGACTCTAGCAGGGGAACAGCTGCAGCCCTCCCTCCTGAATTGGCTCCTCCAGCTAGCAGAAGATAGGTGAATGAGGACCTTGGGGCAGAAAAGTGCTTTCATTGTGCTGCAAAGATGTCTGGCTTCTTTGGAACTGGGTGAGATCACCAAACGTGCCAGCAGGACCGTCCTTCCCCAGGTCAGCAGCTCACCTGGCCTTGGCCCAGGGAAATGGCAGAGAGTTTTCTGGAGAAATTCATCTCTTCAGCAAACTTGTAAAGGTCGGCAGCGGGGTCAGTGCCTGGGGACAGCACGAACACGAGGGGGGTGGTGGCACTGGAGTCCCTGAACACGACGGAGAGGTCAGCGGTCTGCAACAGAGACAGCTTGTCACAGTGCAGGGCTGTGCATCAGGGCTGCATCTTGGCACCATGCACAGCACCACCTCACCCAACCTGACCTCCCTGTGCCACCGGTGTGGCACTGGAGACAGAAGCCAGAAGCATGTCCCTATAGGGCCTGGTAATGCTCTGCTTTGGTAGAATTAGGATCAGGGCAGTGATTAGTTTCCCATTTGAAGCTGTATGCCTGTGGTAACTGCTCCCTCCCAGTACAGTTAGTACTGCTAGATGAGAGGGAGGATTTCCCTCCTCTAAGGCATAAGTATTGTCCAGCTTTGGAGACTGCTGGCACAGTCCTCCTCTGTGGCTGGAGGGAGGCATCCCTGCTGCAGCTGGAAAAAGCTGCTGGCCCTTTTGCAGCTCTCCTCCAGCAGTGCTTCCTTTAGGCTGGTTACCTGAGGCTCAATGAAGTGCCGATCCAGGTTCAGTGCCACAAAGTCCTGCATGGCATTGGTGATCTTATCTCCCCGCAGACACCGCAGAACCAGCAGCTTCTGGAAGTCATCAAGCTCAACGTTCCACTTCCCAGGCAGGGGCTCTCTACAAAGCAATTGTTTGTATTTTGAGGGGAACGAGTCAGATCCTGCAGCTCCCTGAGAAGCACTCAAGGAGTGCTATGGAGTCTGAGGAGGAACAAGGACCTTCCAGCCAGACAGCTGAGGTTGTTGTTCGTAGCTTTGAAACTATTGGAGTGCAAAACAGAGCAACAGCTGTTTTTGCACTCTGCCTTGGGCAAGCAAGAGTGCCACGGCCCAAGCTCCAGCCAGCACTGCACTGAGCAGAGCTGATACTGTGGCTGAATCAGCACCTCGTGCTCTTCCAGCGATGCCATTGTTTGCCTGGCACAGTACAACAAAACTGACAAAGCTCAGGACACTTGCCTGTGAGGCTCGTGGCTGTCAAAGATGGCCCTGAATGCTGCAAGGCTGGCAGCAAAGTCATTGGCAAAGCCGGAGAAGTTCTTCAGGTTGCTCAAAGCCAGGATGTCTCCCCATGCTCGTTCATTCAGCCAGTCTGGAGCTGGGTTCTCCTGCATCTCCTTTATAGTTCCCCCTGAGAGCAGGAATCGCCACTCGTCCTGAGAACAGGACAGTACAAGGTCATGGGTTACAGCCCACCTGCCCGGCCTGAAGCGTGCAGGTTTGTGCTGCATCTGGTAGTAACCTTATGGCTGCTGCTCCTGCCAGGGGTGCATGGGGAAGAATAAGTGAATCAGAAGGTCTGGTGAGATTAACATTGCCTTTCAATTGCTGTAGGCTTTCCTCTGTGGTGCTGCAGCCTCTAACCCCTGCTTAACCCCTCCAAATTCACCAGCCTTTGCAGCAGACCGGCAGTGCTTCAGCCCTGCACATAGGCACAGGGAAAGGCAAAGAGATCTGAATGAACAGAAAGGCCCTAGGTTTGCCAACCAGCCTGTCACATTTACACCCAGCCCCAGGGAACGAGGCTTCTTTGCCACACCAGCACATCAACCAAGGGGGACCGTACACCTGAGCCTGGGCTGCTCTGCTGGGGATCCTATTGAAGGATTGGAGTGATTTGCTTACCATATCAATCCGCCCATCATTTATCAAGATCTGGGCGCAAACGAGGAAGGCAAACATGAGCTTGTGCTTCTCAAAGAGGCTGCGGCACACACTGCTGTAGAGACTGAAGGTGATGTAGTTGTTGATGTTCATGATCCGCTCCTTCACAGTATCTGGAAAAACACAATGGCCAGACAAGGCAGTGGTGACGTGGAAGGGGCACAACACAACAGATGGTGCTCTCAAATACAGCCCTAGTGCAGAATCCCCTGAGAAAAAGACATGTCATCCAGATGTGTCAGATGTATCCTGATGTGGACATGCAATCACAGCAGTGTGGAGGAAGGGGTCAGGACAAGCCTCATACCTGAACAAAGCAACCCCAAAGAAAGGGTGTTTTCTGCAGCTGGGCAAAGAGCTGCTCACTCCTGCTTTTGCTCAGAAGAGAGCCAGTGTGGAATAAAGCACTGCCCCAGCACCAGGAGCGAATCACTGCACCACAGCAGTCAGAAGGGCCCCGTGACGCTGTCCTGGCTGCCATGCACTGCTGGGTGGATTGCAGTGGCAGCCAACAGCCACACGTGGAACTGGCTCCACGAGAAGCAGAGCCACGCTGCTGCCAGGATGTGTGCCTGGTGCGAGCCCTTGCATTACCATCTCCATGCCTGGTCAGATGGGGCAGCAGAGGAGTGCAGAAGAGGAGGGCAGGCTGAAACCTGTGCTGTGCAGACACAACCATGGGCAGCTCTGGACCACGCGGAGAGCCGATGCAAGCGGGCACACCTGCATTGACTCTTCAGGCTCTGGCTTCTAAGCCAGGAACACGGTGTGAAGAAAGGGATGGGAAGGGAGCATTTCAGGCACGTACCTGCTCTCTCAGAGTTACTGATCCCCAAGAGGAAGATGTTGAGGAACCACTCCAGTGAGTACTGATACATGGGGTCCACGCTGGACAGGTCTGAGACACAGAAGTAGAGGATCTGTGTGCGGACAGCAACAGGGGCATACTGCAAGCGTGTGGTGTTGATGTCCTCCTCTGTCTGCTCTGCTACCTTCACCTTGGTCTGAGAGACACAGGAGATGTTGGAGTTTGTGCCGTGCTGGCAGGGGATGGGTGGCTGCGATGAATGAACACCCACACCCCATACCTGGATCTCCCCTGCCTTGAGCTTGGATGCTTCTAGCACTTTGATGAGCTCCAAGTCATCCACAGGGTTTCCTTCGGAAGTGCTGAGCCGATACAGGATCTGGTCTTCTATCTCCTTCAGCTCCTGACGCATCTCAGCATTGCTAAGAATCAGCTGGTTTCGAGCTTCTTCTAAGTCAGGCCTCTCCTCAGCCACCACTTGTCCCAGCAGTTGGTCCTCCAAGCCACTGAAACAAAAACCATGGGGTGAGGGTAAGGACAACAGGCCTGAAGGCTCGCGGGCTGTAAAGAATAAAGCTCAACATTGTGAGCAGCTGCTGGGGTAAGCACGTACCTGGGTGAGATGGTGAAGTTGATGAGGGTGAGTTTTGTGGAAACTTCAGGGCTGTAATGGGGATTGGACAGGTTGGTGGTGATGTACAGCTTGAAATCCTCATTGTAAGGGATCACCGCATCCCCCAGCTTCAGCACTGTTCTGCCTTGCTGCTTGTAGGTCTGCATCAGAGACAAAAGGAGAAGGGCTGGGACACCGATTCTCTGCACTGCAGAGAGGAGACAGCCTGAGGAGATGCACAGAGCAGCTCAAAGTTGCTGGCAGACCCCCATCCAGCCTGGCCACGGCAGCAAACCAAAGGACCTGTTTTAGCAGGATGGGTTCAAGGGCCGGGTCCAGCTCCTCGCCAACGTTCTCCAGCAGGAAGGGCTTCCCATAGGTAATGGCATTTTCCAGACCGCAGAGGAAGTCCCTGTCACTCAGCTTGGCCACCTCCAGGCCGTTCGCCTTCTCCTGAAAGGCAAAAGGGGAATGCAGAGAAGAGCCTGGGGCTGTGCAGATCTGATACTAAGGGCTGTGCTGCTATATTGGGGAGATGAAGAGTGAATGGGGCTAACAGCTCACCTGGGTCCTAACTAAAGCTGCTCAAGTCTTGGAACCCAGATTAGGGGCCGCATCTACAGCACTTGTGTTGATGTGATGTTTGCTGAGCCGTGCAGACCAAGGCTCAGCCAACCTCACTGTTACCTACCAAGATCACCTAATCCCATTTCAGCTGTGTCCTGCCCACCATTCATGTGCATGGCACACCCCCTGCTAGGCAGATTTAACTTTCTGAAGCAGCAGAAGTTATATTTTTTTTTGCTTAGCAAGTTTTTTGGCTATTTTTGCAAGTTTACTCCACTCGTGGAACATCACCAGATACTACATTCATTTTAGCCCAAATGAACACCAGAAAGCAGGGGACTGGGAGAAACCTCCTTCAAGCAGAGCCCAGCAATGGCATCTCAGAGCTCGTTTGCCTGTAAAGTGAGAGCAGGTGGGTGGGAAAAGCCTATAGGGAATACAACAGCAGCTGCCAGAGTCATCTTCTTGGTCCTCTGAAGGGGCACCAGAGGGTCTCTGGACAGAGGGAAGAGGAAGCGGTCCTTGTCTCTGGCACCAGGTACTGGTTAAGCAATGTCAGTTTGAGCTCTCTGTACTGGGGGCACTGAAGGCTGTTATAGGGCATATTAGTGTTGTTTTGTGTGTTTTAGAGTATAATGAAGAACGGAAGATCCCCAGAAATTGATGCTTTGCTTGCTTACGGAAGGCCCCTGCTTCCTTGTGTTGATTCCTCCAAACAGGGAAATTCAGCTGGGATGAATACAGACCTTGCTTGATACTGGGAGGATCACGGTGCAGCTCTGTGCATAGCAGCCTCAGGCTTTGTGCTGCAGAAAGCTGCTTCCCCAACCCCACAGGCTTAGCTTTTTACCCTGTGGATCTTACCAAGTTCTTGATCCACTTGTTTGCTTGTCTTTGAGGGTCAATGTAGTGAGTCCATCGCTGGGAGAACCGTGTTATTACCCCATTCTCCACAGACAGCGTGTCATTTGGTAAACCAGCAACCTAATTGGGGCAAAAAAATCTTAGTTTAGCAGCCACTGGGAGCATTTGGAAACACAGCACAGCTATCTCCTTGTTTCAGGAGCTGGCTGGCCTGCTCTCTCTTTAATGTGTTTATCTGCTGTGTGTGCTGGATCGATTCTGGGGCTCAGATTCAGGGAGCACCTTTTGGCTCTGTTCAGTCATGCAGGATGGTAGCTACAATATGTAATAAGGCTTATCCTGAGATGCCCTTGCTATCCTGGCCCCTGTGTGGTCTTGCTGTGGAGATTATGGTTGGGTAGGGGATGGTGGTGAGGGTTCTGAAGAGATGCAGTTCTCTTTGGAGCAGCTGAGCCGCAGGACAGAGCTGTGCTGCTTGAGTTGGGGGTGGGCAGGCCACGGCCAAGGCTTTGCTGTCATCTTGTGCTGTGTAAAGTGGAAACCCAACAGGTTGAGAGCTGTATGATGCACCCAGAGCTGCTGCTGCCCTGGATGCTGCCAGGTCCCCTTCTGCTCATTGAGCAGTATGCCCTGAAAGAAACTATTGAGCTCTCTTGGGGTCTCTCCTTTGGCAAAGCAGTTCCTAATTAATTGTGCTGAGTGTTTTAGCCTTTACCTGAAGCAGTCCTGTCCCCTGCCTTTTCAGCCTCCTGTATCATCTTTCCCATAACTTGCCTGCCAGGAGCGGATTTCCACAGGGTCCCCAAGGGTGCTGATCAGGTTTGGCTCCTCGGTGTGAGGAATATTGTTTTCTGAGAGCTTGCTCAGCCACTCCTTGCACAGTGCCATGCGGTAGTGTCCCTGCCACAAGAAGCACCATCACAGACTTTTAGTAGCAACTGTTCCACTGTGTGCAACGAAACCCTCCTGCTTCTATCCAAAATGACCCTGTGCAGCCTCTAGCACGAATGGAGAGAGAGATCCAGGAGGGAGATTACATCTTTTTGCCCTATTCTGTGTGTCCAGCTTGAAGGGATTGTGGTGTTACAGCTCTGACCTTGCTCTTAGGAGGCAGCACGTGCCAAGGCAGTGCTGGCAGACATCCTGGGCAGCCAGGTCACCAGAGGGGCTGGCAAGTACAGCAAACTGTGTCAGCTGCTGACCACAAAGAAGGGCAGAATCTGACTTGAAGCCCGTCTAGCTGGTAACAGCAAAGGGCAGGAGAGCAGAGCAGCCAATAGAGCCCGCTCCAGAGAGCACTGCATACTTACAGTAAAAGGGCCCAGGTAGGCGACAAAGCCAGCTGCAAGCAGCACATCCCCAGCAATGTTGTTGATCTTGTAATCCAGGTTCTCAACGGTGTCCTGCCAGCGCACCTTCTCATCAGCCAGGCTGTTTATGAGCTGTGGAATAAGATGCACATGTGAGAGCTGCTGTGTTGCTCTCATTTGTCCCCATAACTGGCTTAGGGAGCTGCGGCACAGGGAAGATTAGTTACATCAGCCCTAATGTGCTGCTGAGATCTGGCCAGGCAGCTCCAATCTAGCATTGCCATAAGCTGCAGGCACATAACGTTGCTGGAAGTGGCATGCACAGATTTTCACCACTGTGCTCCTTGGCCTGAAGTCAGGCTTTCTTGTAAGTAGGCAGAGCTGTTCCCTACCGTAGCAGCACGGCCCAATCTCTGCTGACACTGCTCGCACTTCATCTCCAGTTCCTTCTTCTTGGCTATGCAGCTGTTGTACTTGGCTTGCAGAGCAGCAATACCACTTTCAACGTCCTTCAGGCGTTGCTTAGCTTCCTCAAGGACCTGCTGAGTAGCACGCAGGTCCTCTTCTGCCTCTCGCCAGGCTTGCTGGGGAGATATGCAAGAAAACAGTGGTAATGCTGTGCTTGTGGTCAGGCTCCTCCCCAGAAGCCAAGACCATCCAGCAGGAGCTAATTTGGGAAAGATCTGTGACTTTTTTTTTTCCATACAAGTGCTACCTGGAGCTGAGATCCTTCCCTGTGCAACAAAGGTTGACCTGCAGAACTCCATGGGACATTCTCCAAGCCCAGGAATAAAAGCAGGAGTGAGGAAGTAGTTTGTGTGCAGTTTCAAAAAGCCAGGAGGCTGCACGAGCTTACTGCTCAGGATGTGGCCCACTCTTGAACAGGAGGAAAGTTTCCTCTGCTTACCCCAGAATAATAATACAGAAAACACTGGGCTTGGAGAGGATTAAGCTGAAGCACAAATGAGATATGGGAGTGCTTCTGGAAGTAGTTTCTACCGAGTTAGGATTTGGCCCTAAAGACACAGCATCACTGCTGTCTCAGTGTGATTTTTTTTTTCCCCACTTTATTAAGTAATGGGTTTCTGGGTTTAGTGGCTCTGTCAGGGCTTGATTGGAGTCTAAATCCTGAACTGCACACCAGAGCTGGGGACTCTCACCATCACACAGAAAGGACCGCAGTCCTGTGTCCCCTGACACCAAGAGCGACCTGATCATGCTGCCTCTTACCCGCTTGGGCTCCACAACCTTGGCTGCAAAGTGGTACTTGTGCATGGCACGCACCCACTGGCAGATGGAGGTGCAAGCTTTGGAGACCTTGGAGATGGCAGCTGGCTGGAACTCCTTGCTGTCAATGTATGGCTGGATGGCCTTGATCACGGAGTCTGGAATGTTTTCCTGTGAGCAATGGTGGGAAAGAAAGGAGACTGGAGATGAGGGTGCTGGAGATCTGATGGAGGAGGGTTAGAAAAGCTTTCTCCCAGAGGCTGCAGCCTGCCCCAGGACTGCTAAGAGCAGTGAAGGTATTGCACTGGAGCAAGAGAATCACACTGCTCCATCGTGAGGCCTGGAAAGCACAGCAGTGGGCTTGGGTAAATCCCTTCCCATACCATATGTCAGGATTTCCATCCAGCTCTTTCAAGCAGAAAGAGCAGAGGTCCCACAGTCCAAAGCAATGAAGCCAGCTGACACAGGAGCTTCCAGGCCAAACAATTCCTTATCCTCAGTGCTACTGAAAGGTGTTGCCTGGAAGGAGCTTTAAGCCTCATTGCTCTGAGCAAGAACTGTGCAAGGTAATGACATTCCCCAGTCACAGCTCCGCTCTGTTGCCACTTACCTTATCATACTTAAACAGGCTGTCCAAGAATTTCCCTGGGTCCTGGAGAAGGCCCCTGCCTGGTTCCCAGTAATCATCCACCTTGGTGCCCAGCTTCTCCCCTAACACTTTCTTGGGTTTGACTTCCTTCATGATGCAGACTGCTTCGATCACCATTTTCACACCGAGGGGAGGCCGCTGCATCGCTCGTACCTTAAACCCAAATGGAGACAATGGGTTGGCTTGGTCCTTGGTGAGATGGGCTTTTCAACCTCAGCCAGGGTGGAGGAAGGACGCTGAGAGGAGGGAGAGGTATCAGAAGAGAAAGCTGATTATCAGAAAAGCTACAGAGAAAACTGAGGAGGCTGGAAAAAGCTCTGCCCCAATGCTTTGTGATGGATATCTCCAGGCTGCAGATGTCTTGGCAAAACAACCAGAGCTGGGTGTCCCTGGGGAAGGGGGAAGTGCAGACAGGGGGTATGGGCAGGCTTTCTCTCTTGTTCTGTGGGCTCTCATTTGTCTTGTACCCCACTATGAGAATGCTGCAGGGCCTGCAGTACAGGAGTGGGTTTGCATCAGTTGTGGAGAGACTGCTGGAGTCTTTCCTCAAGCAGACTGCTAGGAGAGCTACTGGGGCACCGCTGGGATGGCTGTGGGTGTCAGGGCTCTTAGGAACAACTCCTGCTTTGTCCCTTCTAGTGTCGGCCATCCTTGCCATGTCCAGCCGGAGACGTTCCCAGACCTTCCTCCAAGACAAAGTCAGCAGAGGGGCAGAGTTTGTGAAGACGCTGCGGCTGTTCTACCCACAGGCAGATACCCTCTGTGAAAAGGACTTTGACTGGCTCTTTGACTGCCCCGAGACAGAGCAGTTCATCGCGTGGTTCTGCAAAACAGTGGGAGAAGAGAATGTGCTGAGCCCAGCTGAAGTGCAGGCCTACGATGCTCTGGTGGCTGCAGGCAAGCCTATCCTGGAAGGTGATGCCCTTGAGCAGGTGTTGCAGAAGTGCCAGAAGACCCCGCAGCTCAAACGTGTGATACCAGAGGCTGAGGGAAGTTCTCTGGAGGCCTTGGAGCAGGAGATCCAGGAGCTGAAGGGCTGCTGTGCCCAGCAGCTCTGGCAGCTCAACAAGCTGCAGGTTTGGGCAGCCAGCCTGCAGCAGGAGCTGAGGTATTTGGAGGAGGAGGAGAAGGCGACAAAGGAGGTGTTGAGGAAGGCTCATGTGGAGCTGAGAGTGGAGATCTTTCGAACCACCACTGTCCTGAAGCAGCTCATTGAGCTTGCAAAGCAGCAGGTAGAGGAGTATGAGAAAGCAAGGAAAGGCCAGCCGCCAGCACTGCTGCATGAGATGGACCTCAGAGGTTACATAGAGCTTGAACAACAGTTCACCGATGCATTTGAGCGTTTAATGGAGCAGGTCCTGCCTGGGAGTGCTCAGACTCCAGAAAGCAGAGTGCAGGAAAGGCTGGAGGCTGCCATACAGGGGGACTCAGCCTCAGAAACAGTGGGAGGAAGAAGAGCAGCCCCTCATCCAGAGTGTGCAGAGACGGGCCGAGGAGTGGCAGCTGAAAGCCAGGGAATAAAGATTCGAGGCTCAAGGGCAGAACCTCCAGCGGATGGGAGGAGGAGTGAGGAGCTGAGTGTGGGAGACGGGGAGGAGAAAGGTGACAGCCCAGATGCTACAGAGAGAATGGACATCAAACAAAAGGGGCTGAAAAGCCTTAGGATTAACGGAGATGAAATACTGGGCAAGCGAGACAACTTCTGGATGGAGCTCGTCCAGTTGGAGAAAGCATATATCTGTGCTCAGATGGAGGTTATAGCCATGTCGGCCAAGGTGGAAGGCAACTGTGCTGCATTAAACTGGGCCCAGAGGACTCTGGAAGCTCTCAAGGAGAACAAGGTAGGATTAGTGCTCCTTTCCAATCCCATCCTTTGCAATCCCACCTTGTAGCACGGTGTGCCTGTGCTGGGGCACAACAAATGTGCCTAGAGGCCGTGGCCAAGCTGGGCAGTGCCAGCAGTGTGCCTGATGGTGGTCTCCCTGATCTTCCCTCCTACAGGATGTAGTAGAAGCCAAGCTCCAAAGTCACGCTGCCACGTTCAAGAAGCAGCTTCACACCCTGCGCTGTGACATTGCTCAGATTCAGACCCACCAGCTGCTGCCCCAGGTGAAAGCAGCAGCAAGCCTCTTCCTCCTGCCCATCCTGCAGGAAAAGCTCCGTCTGGATAACGCTTGTCTGCAGGACATTGGCCAGAGGCAGGAGGAGGCAGCTGCATGGGTGGCGAGCCAGCAAAGCCGCCTGGATCTGTTGGAGCTCCAGCTGAAACGGGAGAAAAAGGAGCTGGACCAGAAGGCTGCTTGGCTGGGAGAGATAGAAACTACCCTGAAGAATGCCCAGGCCAAGCTGCAGGCGTATCATGACTGCTGCAAAGAGGCCAGGTCCTCCATGAAGGGTTCTGCATGCACACAGAAGAAGCCCGAAGACTCCATTGCCATGCGGTAAGGTTCTAGGTCTGTGTGTGCATGAGAGTGAACAAGACATGGAGGACATGGCACAGGAACAGGGAAAACTTCTGGTAGATGAAAGCTACCAGACAGTGTTCTTCTACCAGTGCTGGGCCACCCTGACTCCATGGTGGAGTGAAATTCTCCAGGAGATGCTATCATTTTCTTCCTGGCTGTTTTGGGGGTGATGCAGTGAGGAATGGCCTTGGAAAAGAGCATCTCCATTCAAACAAAAGTTTTCCTAGGTGAAGCACAGAGGCACATCTTCAGCTGTCCTCTCACTGTCACACCACAGCCACTGGCATCCTACTCCCATAGCACACATTGTCCCCTGAGCCCTGTTCTTCCTTTGAGCTGTCAGATGCTCACATCTCTGGTTGCCTTCTCTCTTGCAGGCTTTGGGGTGTGCTGATGGGGCAAGATCAGGATGAGCAGCAATCCTACAGCTACAAGGCCATAGCAGCCCGTAGCTCCCAGCTGGTGCAGGAACAGAGGGAGCTGGAAACACAACTGGCAGCTGCTATACCCCAACAATCCAACCTGGAGTCCACCATAGAGGAGCTCTACTGGCAGCTGTACAATGACTCCAAACAACTGCAGCTTTGCTCTCCAGTAAGCAAGGAGCTCTGTCCATCCATTCCCCTGCTCCATTAGGGTTGCACAGTAGGTGGACCGATCTGTTTATCTTCTGCGTGTGTTTTAATGCATTTGGTTTCTGCCCTTCAGGAGACTGCTGAACTGATGCAGCAGCTGATCACCGTGCAGGATGTTCTGCACCAAAATCTGACAGAACTCCTGAGTGACCTGAAGGTTAAGCACAGCTCTCTGCAGGACCCCAACCTGCAGGCAGAGCGCAAACTCTACCTTCATTTCTTCTGCAATGAGGATCGGCTGAGAGAGATGGTGGAAGAGCAGGAGAAGCAGGCTTCATCTTCCTCCGAGTGACTACTGATGGAGCTGCCCTATTCAAAGGAGTAGATCAAAATGATGCCTTCTCCTTGTTGTGCAGAGTGGTATTCTCATCTAGTTGGGATCAGACATTTGTTTTGGACTGGGAGAGGTCCCTGGTAGCCCTGGCTCCAGTGGCAGGGTATGGTCATGGTCAGTAGTTAAGCTTAAAATCAGCATGGAGCTCATTCCTTAAGTGGAGAGTTTCTGAAAGCCCCTGGGAGGGTAAGATGATGTTTAAGAATCTGAAGCACTTTGAATTGGCATTTAGAAACCTTGTATAGTGAGGAGACTTCTTGCTGTGACAGCTCTACAATGGGATGGGTGCTGCCTGCATCCTTCTCCACCTTCTTGGAGAAAGGAGTTGTGCGTGTTTTGGGGGAAATAAAAAAGTCTGTTTTCACAATTGCAGAAGAATGAGTCTGTCTCTCCTCACCATAACTGTCCTGCCCTGTGCAGTAAGAACTCCTACCCTGTATCTACTACCACAATCCTTTGCTGAGGACCCTATCTGTAGCTGCTGCTTGCTGAGGTTATGGGTATGGGCTGTGATGTTTCCTACTGTGGACTCGGGCTACCTTTTTATCTCTGACCATTCTACTTACAGCCAGTTTCCTTGAAGTTAGCCCACTGCCCCTTGCCTCTTCTCCTCAGCCTGGCATTAGATCCCCTTTCCAAAGAGCTTGCTGGCTAGGTGGGCCACCAGATCTAAGTCCATGCTACGCAGCTGACACTCAGAGTGGCATCATGACATCATTTGCTCCCATGGACCAGGACAGCACTATAGCTGACTATAGCTGGCTCTCTGTAGGATAGAGAAGTGAAGAAGTGGCTGGTGGAGGATGTGCGGGCAATTAGCCCACCATATGTGCCCAAGGGACAGAGGTGGAGGAAGAGGCTGTGGACTGTGCAAGCTCATACAAGAGGAATTGCAGCAAAGTGTTGTTCAGCTCAGCTATAGCAGACTAAGTTCAAAGCCTTGCTGTCCTTCCTGCCCCTCAAAAACACATTCTACCACAAGGCCCACCTGTGCCACCATCCCCCTTAAGCTTACCTCTGTAACATCACTTTTTTTCAGGTTTCTCAGGCTGGCCAGAGCAGCATCTAGGGCAGGAAGAGCTTCAGCCAGGTCCTTCTGAGCATCATCTGCAATGGCTTGGGCTCTCTGGGCTTTTGCATTGGCCTTGGTTTCCTCAGCCTGAACAGCAGTTCTTGTCTCTTCAGCAACAGCTGTGTCCACCTGCAGTAGCAGAGACAGTCTCAGAAGCACAGCTGGACCCAGAGCATCTATTTGGTGCTCTGCATTGCTAGGTAGGGATCACAGCAGTCATAATAACCGTAGTTTTTCTTCCAGCGTACACATGCTGCTCTGTCATAACAGCAGGAGATTGTAGAGACGATCCAGGAGCTCCAGCTCTGGCTGCCCTGGAACAGTGTTAGCCCAGTAGGAGCTAGCTGTTCTCCCCATTTCTTCAGTTAGCTCAGGGAGTGGATGTGACAGCAAACATACAGGGAGATATAGGAATAAGATGTGCAGAGATTTGTTTCTACAGCTATTCTTCTGCCAGTCCTTAAGGATTCAAGCACTACCAGGAGGTACAAAGGGCACGCAGAATGTAGCCAAATCTTGTTCTGTGAGTGGATCAGGCCACCTCTATGAAGGTGTGTGAGAGGAGTGTGTGTGTAGACCACTCTGCAGGCAGGGCTGTGTAGTGCTTGTGCCTCAGTGTAGCCACGCCACAGTGAGAGATGGGCAGGGTGGAACTTTAGGAGGAGGGAAGAAAGAGATCCCTTTTCCTCAGCAACCTGAGTGTGTGATAACCCCTGAGCCTCAGGCTGGCAGGGCAGGCTGGATCAGTGTCCAGATGTATTGGTGGGAGGTGTGGGAAGGAGCCCTTTTAGCAGCAGCTGTCTGGCCCTTAAGCTGCCACAGGCTACCCAAGGACTGAGTTAGTGATAGCCTGTGTGTGCAAGGAGCTTATCCAGCAAGGAAAGGGAGCTGCTAGCTTGATTTCTTGCTTCCCTGGACTGTGGCTTCACGCAGGAATGGATGAGCCATCAGCAGCTAGGAGGGTGGGAGGGTGCCCAGCAGACTTCTCCCTGGCAGTGCTGCTCTGTAAATATCTACTGCACTAAACTAATCTGGAGCTCTTGGACTTGCAGATAAAACACAATTCCTTGCAAGTTCTGCAAGGCCTCCCCCAACTCTGCTTTCAGTATGAGCAGTCAGGTGGAACTGTGGAAATTGTGGGGCTGTCTAGCAGCAGTACCTGCAGCTGCTCCATGGTTGCCAGTGTGTCCTTGGCTGCCTGGGCCAGGAGAGGGCGGGCAGACTCCAGCTCTTCCTGCATCCTCGCTACATCCTCTGCTGTTTGCAGGAGCTGTGGGAGCAGAATAGAGTGAGAGCCCCAGGGAAGGTATGCGTTGCCCTGGTGGGTGTTTCTTGCCTGGTGTCATGCTGTATGATGCAGTTCTTGCCGTGCTCCACAATCCAACTCTAATGCTGTGGTGTGCTTAGACAGGACTGCATAACAGTGCCTGTGTCACAGGCAACAGGTTAGTGAGTGGCTGGCACGTGGATGAAGTCCCAGAGACAGCCTTCCTGGGGGGTCAGCTCTGCTGCTGCCTGCTCCAGTCCATCCTAACCAACTGCTGGTTCGTAGTGCTTGGATTAGGGACCTCCTCACTCACATTTGCTATCTGGACTATTTGTGTGTCTTATAATCCAAACCCAGGCTCAGGCATGCATTATTGTCTATAAAGAAGTACTAGCTGTGTTCTGAACATGTCTAGCATGGGAAACATTAGCTTGAGGCTGTTGTTCCCAAGCTGCAGCCTGCAGGCACTTTCAGTACACAAACTCCTGGCAGTCAGTAAGCAGAAGCATGCTGTTGTTATAAGGCTTTCAATTAAAAGATTAATCAGGAAGATCCTGAGAGATGGGCTAACAGAGAACTCTATGGTACCCGAAGTATGGGGGCCATTATTGCTTTTAGCACTGTTGCAGACTCAGATCTATGGGAAGACTGAGCCCAGCAGAACGCATTGTTCTCATCTGCTGCAGCATGAGTTTTCTCCTGTTAACCAGCTCTGTGGGGCACCTCACCACATCTCTCCAGCTATAACAACAATGCTCAGAGCACGGGCTGTGGGGGACAGACCTTGCCCAGGCCTCCTTCCATCCTGTTTTTGGCTGTCTTCAGCTCCTGTTTCTTTTTTCCAATCAGGGAACAAAAGATGCTGAGGAAATCGAGGTAACTCTTGGGAGTGACATAATTGTGTCTGGCCAGCTCAGCCAGGTACACCTGGCACTTCCTTGCCACACTCTGATGGATTTCTACACACATTTGAACCTATAAGAAAGGAAAAAAACAACTTTATTCAGTGTTAGGCAAGTCTATAGATCGTGCGTAGAGAGCACAGGGGCTGAGCTTAAAAGTGCCTTAGTGTACACTCACAGCAGAGCTTGTATGTGCATGTGGGCTTCAGTGCCACAGAGGGTAAGAAACAAACTTGGTATTTCAAGGCATATGAAATCTAATTGGATCTGGATTTTAATGAACTGATTATGAAACATTACTGCTCCAGGATGGGACCTTTCTGCAGGTATCCTGCATCTGTTGCCTACGTGCAGCTGGAGATGGAGCACGTATAGGAGCTGTGCTTTGTGTGGCACCTACCATCCCATCCACAGTATCGGTGCTGGCACCAAGATGTGGGTTCTCGTGCAAGAAGGAAAAGGCAACACATTGCAGGGCTTCAGCAGGCCACTCATTAAACCAGTCAATGGTACAGCAGTTCACAAGAGAGGGAAACTGTCTCAAGCGTGCACGGAACACTTCTCCAATAGGGCTGGATGGGAAGGCATGCAGAAAAGAGATGTTACAACTGATTATAGATACAGGGATAAAGCAGCTTTCCCACTTGCCTAGAGCAATCCTTAAATCCTGCAGTGCAATAGGGAAAGGAGCAAAAAAAGAAGAAAGAAGGAGGAAGGGAATGAAAATTTAGGCATGTTTCACGTGTCGTAAGGTGCTGATCACACATCACATCTGGGAGGATCAAGAGGGTGGTGATGTTTTCTGTTCCCTCCACAGGAAGGGCACTGAGGAGGTAAGGAAACAGCGTGATCTGAAGTCCATAGCAGAAGATGGGTTGTAGAGACCGTGTCACCAGACCAAACTGATGGCAATGATTCTCTTGTGGGTATTTGTGCTGAGACTGCCCTGCACATTCATGCAGCCCCTCCTCAAGCTTGAATTTAATCTGTATCACAGGTTGATGGTACAAGGGGCAATGGTTTTGAACTGAGACAGGGGAGGTTTAGGTCAGATATCAGGAGGAAGTTTTTCACACAGAGAGTGTGAGGCACTGGCACAGGTTGCCCAAGGAGGCTGTGGATGCCCCATCCCTGCAGGCATTCAAGGCCAGGCTGGATGTGGCTCTGGGCAGCCTGGGCTGCTGGTCGGCGACCTGCACACAGCAGGGGGCTGAAACTCAATGATCATTGTGGTCCTTTTCAACCCAGGCCATTCTATGATTCTGTGTTCTTAAACTTCCCAAACTTCATCTTAAAACCAGCAAATTACAAAAAGGAAAAAACCATCTCCTCCTTGGGGAAGGTCATATGCAAACCCTACTTCTGTTCCAAAGTTGAGAAACAAAAATCCTGTGAAGGCAAAGCACAGGGAAGGAATAATTAACACTGATAGCAGTGTCCTGCTCTCGAGCCATACCTCATGCACAGCACCATGTGGATATTGCTGTGAACCCGTCCTGTGTATGCAGCCATCAGGTTGGCCTTGGTGGGCTGCAGCCCCAGCTCTCGCACAACAGGCTTCATGGCTGTCGTGATCTGCTCTTGATCATCAGGGCTGTAAATGTTGGGAACATCGCCAGAGTTGAGCAGGTTGTTGATATCTTCAAGGAAGGACTCATTTTTAATCTAAGTAGATGAGGTGGAGAGAAAAAAGTTGTAAGAGAGCCAGGTTTCTGTATGCCATATAATGAAATTCTGGATAAATACAGCCCACAGCCTCTGCTCTAAGAAATTGTTTCTATGATTGCTGAGCTCCAGTAGGGGATATTCATGTCTCAGGGCCAGCATTTGCAATTGAACAGCCACGTTCAGCCACTTCAGAGGTGGAGATGTCTGGGAACAAGTGTTGCTCGTTCACTATCTCCTTGCAGATACATTATGCTTGGGGTTTTGCTCCATGCCTCGCAGTGACTCTGTGACCAGACCCCAGCCCCAGGGTGCTTGTTTCTCCATCACAGCTGAACGTTTCGCTGTTAGGATAAAGCTCACTGATATGAGAGGCAGAGAAACCGTAGTGAGGTGTCACAGTCTGTGGGATGATCTCCCTGCAGAGCTGCACTCACCTCTCCGCCCTTGCTACATCAGAAACACACAGCATCCATCTACTTGTCTAAATGCAGCCTCCCATGCCCCCGCCCTTCTCCCACAGATGCTTCTCACTGCAGGGAAAAGGATGAGCGAACAAGCCGCGTTTGACAGATGCTCATCTCTCTGCTTAGGGCACCGCTTGAAGCAACCTGGTTCCTATGATAACAATGGCAGCATAAAAACCCATGGGAAATACAACCACGAATTCCAGGAGTTAGTCTACAGCTACCCTTTACAGTAACAAGGCAATGTTATCTTGTACCAAGCCCCTCGGGGAAAATTCTTCAGCTTAAAGATGTGATCCTGACTCCTTACGAGAAGTCAACGCTGCCATACCTGTGTGTCCACAAACAGGAATGTCTTGGGTATGCTTTCAAGGCCTGCCTTCATCATGATCTTCCTCACATCGTCTCGCCATTCGGTCACACCGTAATTCTTGGACAATTCGATCTGGAAACACTCATATTCTGCCCTAAGGGAAAGAGAAGCCTTTGAAATTACATCCTGCCTTCTTTTGCCAGTCCTGAGGATGCGTTTTGGACATGGGGGAGAAGCAAGCTGTTCTCCTGCAGTGTCCTGAGCACCGCTCTGTCCTTGGACACGTTTAGCCATCAACCCAAGAATATCCTTCACTCACAGCAATACCTGAGCCAGCTAGGAAATATAACTCCATCAGCTACCAGTGTCACACTGTAAATACCCAAGTGCAACCCCTTACACAGTGCCTTGGAGTACAAAAGGAAGCAATTCACCAAGGGTTTTTTTGTGTGTGTGATGCTGCAATTTGCACCTGGTTTTGCCAAGGAATCACAGCTGTGTTTTTGAGGATCACATCCTGTATTCAGGACTGAAAGAACTTGCTTCTCCAGCCCGTTTTAATTCCTCTTCTCATTTCTCCCCTGAGGCCCTTTGGCTCCCAGGACTCACAGATGCCACAGGGCAGGCTGTCAGTGTCACTTGGTTACTTTGTCACTGGTGATTCTCATCTCCATCTTCCTGCTGCCCTTCTCCCAGGAAGGAGCCCTCATCTCCACCACAGCCATGCTGAGTGCTGCATAGGCCATTTTGCTGATGTGGGCTGGATTACATTTGTTCATTCACTGCATGCACATGGCAGCAACCTAAGTACTAGCAAGCAGGAGCCCAACTTTCCCAGTGCGGATGTACGCACTAGCTCGAGTTCTAGCTCTTGAGTGTTAAACCTGAAGAGTCAGCATCCACAAAAACATGCAAAGCAGTAGCAGGAAGGGCAGGAAAAGAGAATCTCTGGAGGCAGCCCCCATGGAGCTGCTCCACTTTATGTGCATACGAGCACATCACTTACATGTGAGATGCCAGCCTGGTGAGAGACTGCCTCCCACTCCCCCCAACACCCAGGAGAAGGGCATTCCCTGGGGCCTGCCGCAGGATCCGGCTGATTCGGCAGATGTGCTGCATTGCATCCATGAAAAGCTCCAGCTTCAGCTCTGCAGTGTTGGTTTGGTTGTACTCTTCCAGGTAATCCTCCAGCACGCCTTTCAGCTGCGGGCAGAAGCACACAGTTATGGCTGACAGTTACAAGCAACTGTGAGGAGGCGTAATTGTAATTGTGTGTAAGCACAGGCAGCTATCTGGGAGGACAGAGCTTGGTGCTCACTGGTCCTAGGAGCAGCTGCTTCTCTCAGTCACAGCCTAGGAGCTACCTGCAGGGATGGCTCTGTTTGCTCCACGCTCCTATAGGAACTGCCAAGGAACTGGGCTGAATTTAGCTGATGGTGATGGCAGCAGCTGCTGAATAGAGACCTTTAAGTAACTCAGGCTAAGATCTGCTGATCCTGGTGATGCTTGCTTGGAAAAGCAGCAAGGAATGATCCAAAACAAAATAGCTTATGGCTGCCTGACCTGTGCAGTTCCAGGATCTGTATTTAGGAGGGCTGCTGATTCTATAGCTGCCTGCTGAAACCCGAGGTTAGGGTGCTGAAAGGGCAGGTGCTGGAAGGAAACCTTGCTGGCTATAGGCAGAAAAGGTAGATTGGCACAGAGGTGCACTGCTTTTGTGGTCCAACCACTACAAAAGATAACTGGACAGTCTTCTGACTTTTCCAAAGCTCTGCTCAACAGCACGCACAGTCCAGAGCACACGAGACAGAAAGATGTTCAGGATTTGGTCAGGATTCTCACTGTAAACCTAGCCAAGAAACAGCAACTAGAATTCCTACAGTGCTGAGGTCCCTGCCTAGGAGACCAATGACCTCTGTGCATCAGGGGACTGTGCAGCAGCTTGGTAAGCCTGCCTGCCTCGGCTGTGCTCGCCTCAGTGGGGGACAGACCTAGCTACTTTGCAAAAAGGATTGGGAAGCTCAGTTAATTACCAGTCCTTGTCACACAGCTATCACAAGAGGGGAGAAGACAGGATAATCATCCGTTTCTGATAATGAGTGCAAAACGCACTGCTCATTGCCTTCGCTTAATTACCACTACCAAAGTACTCACAGTATCTTTTCCAACAGGGAATCTGGCAGTAACATTAATTAGTTGCAAAGGTCAATTGTGAAGGCTTTAATGGCAAATGTAGTATTGTTTGGGGGTAATGTGCCATTTCTCTTCAGCAAATTTCACTTTTCATTCCAGAGTATGGCTTATTCAGGGGACTTGGCATAGCAGACAGCCCCCAAGATACAATACACAGACAGCTTGTTCCACCTCAACTTCCCATCTGTAGCAAATGCAACCGCTGCCTGTATCTGCAGTAGAATTTCACATGAGAGCCCTAAGTCTATGATTCCAAGTATCTTCAGTTCAAGCAGCCCTATGGTTATTACTACCTCTTTTGTTTGCAGGAGACTTGGAAGAGATGAACATAATTCATACTCTCAAGATCCCCAAGATCCTCACCTTTTCCTGGCTGTCAATTTCTTCGTACAGTTTAATATGTGCCCCTGGTTCCATGAAGTCCCCAAACAGAACTGGCTGGGACGGGACAACCTCCTCAAAAGTGGTGTCCAGTTCCTCCATCATGCTTTTCATCAGGTTGTCAAACCAGGTCTGGTCTTCCTTGGTGACCAGGCGATCACAGAAGACCCGGCAGCTCTCATGGTACCACAATCTCAGCAGGTGGTGTTTGTCCTGGTAGGAAATCCCAGCAAACATCCCCATGAGAGAAGCAAAGAAGTGTTAAGAATCTCTCAGCCACCAAACACCAGCCCCACTCCTGCTTCAAAGCAGCTGGAGTGGAGAAGGAACTAGGAGGAGGAAGCTGCACTCCCTCCTCTCAAAAGGGACCCTTGTCAAAACAGCTGCTTGGCAGAGAGATCATTACAGCTGCAGTTAATACCTTCTCTATTTGTCCTCATGCCAAGCTTTCTTGGAGAGATCTAAAATTTCGTGTTATTTGTCCTTATCCTCCCCTCAGTATGACTCGATTTAAGCTGTTCTCACAAATTCTTGTATTTCCTGCAAAGATCCTTCTATTCAGGTGTGGCACAGAACCAGGTCCTCAAGTACCTTCTGTGATGAGCCAACACCTACAGACAAAGCTGTACTTACAGAGCAAGGTTCTCAGGGACCTGTCCTGAAGAGACAGAGCCCTCTATTAGCATAATATTTTAAATAGGACAATCTCTCTCCCCCTCCATGGTCCTCCAGAGCTGTGTCCAGCCGTACAGGAGTGAATGGCATTGACTCTCTGTGGTCACACAGCTGATACTCCAAAAGCCTTGGGGATGTTTGGAGTCCTATCGATCACTAAATCCATGAACAGTATGAAAATGCTACTTCAACAATAAACTGAGGTGTGAGCTGGAACACTTCTGGTCTTTCCCTGGGCGGCCTGGTTGTGCTGATGGCAGGACTGACCTTGATGTTGCTGGGCTGAGCCATGAGCATGCCCTGGAACACCTTGGAGAGGTCTCTCAGGTTAAAGGTGTAATGTGACTTTGTTGGTGTGGGCAGCAGCTGGGATGTGATGGTCAGATACACGTAGATAGTGGCATCAACCAAGGGCTCATTCAAGTCTTTGACTGCAACTGCTCCAGCTGCAGAGATAGAAGACAGAGAGGGTGCCAAGGTAGCAGCTCTGGGACAGGAAACTCCTAGCAGTGCAGACAAGTGGCACTGAGAGGCAGAGGTGTTGCTAGGATTCGGCCAAAAATGCACTTTCTTTTCCCCCTTAGTTTCCTAATATGGACACTGTGAACAAATCCCAGCTCATTGCAATAGGGAGCTTCCCTTCTGAAGGGGATCAGATCTGAGCAGGGCAGAATGCATCACAACAATTCTGCAGTCTTAAGAGTACACGTACCCCACAGGAAAAGGAGATACTGCCAGCAGGCAGTTGGTACTTACATGAAATACTGAGGTATTCCTTCTCTATTCCTGCACCCCCCTCTGTGAAGTCTTAGCTACTTTTAAGCTAGAAGGTGCCCTCAAACTAAATCACCATGCAAATCATTGAGCTCAGCAAATGAAAAGTCGCTGAAGGATGACTGAGGGATGACTTGTTATGTAACAGTCAGTGGAAAAATTTAAACACAGCTGCTAGTTTCAAAGCACAAAATACTTTCCTTAATTCTAATCAAAATCGTTACCAACACTCCTGGGCACGTAGAGCCCTGTGACACGCTGGTACTTCAGATATTATTTCCGAAATTTTTAGTTCTCTTTTAAATTACAGCTGAATCCTTCACTGCATCCCTGAGCTCACAGTCAGGTACTGGCACCTGTGAACACTGTAAGCACTCAGAAAGCTCTGCTTTGCCTTCCTCATAGCCCACCGTTCTCACTCCTTTGTGCTGGCAGATTTGCAGAGGAGAGCACATTTGCAAAGATGATCCTAAATTCCCACCCTGTCAAATACAAGAGGAGCTGATTTCACTTCAGATGAGCCCTTTTGTTTTTTTTTCCATGGGTGGCCGTAGCACCACGATCAGATCTTCCCTGCTCAGCTGTCCACAGACTGCAACAGATGGGGAGTAACAGAAGGCTTACTTCTGCAGAAGGCTGTTGTCTGGGCAAGTGTCTACCTGCTGAAGGCACAGGTAAACTATTCCATGCTGTGCCCACCAGCCTGTTCAGTCTCTTGCATCTTTTTGCTCTTACTTACGCACTGGATCTCTGTAACTTCTTTCTCCTAGGAGACCAGCTAGGCAACAAAGACAAAAAACATGAGTTACTGCTTTGCTTGTGGAGGTGAAGGATATCTGCACCACCTACTGCAAACAAAATTCTCATTAAAATGCAAAGGCTACGTGACATTTTATCAAACTGTGAGAGCCAAAGTTGAAGTTGGATAGTTTGGCCCAGAGACTGAACAGCACATGAGTTCTCTGTTTGCTAAGGCTCAAACAACAGTTTCTCAAGAATACCTTCAAGTGATTAATTCATGTTCCACCGTCTAACACTTCCATTAGATCACCAATATTAAATTGTTAATAATAATAATAATACCCCCACTGGGTTGACTATGAGGAGGAGGCAGTTGTCTGCTGAACTCACCCATCCAACTGCCAAGGATGTTGGAGAAGATGGTCTTCTTGCTGCCATCGTCCATCTCCGTGAAGGACAGGTAATTGAAATGACGTGTCAAGCGTGGAGTAACAGCATTCCTTCCCCCTCCAGGAGGTCCCATGGCACAGACAAAATTAATATCCACCAGCTTCTTAAACGTACCTTGAGAAGTGGGAAAGCAGGACCGAATGCTGAGCTGAAACCAAAACGCCCCGGCCACAAATCTCCCCAGAAAGTTCATGTATCTATCAACAGGCCAACTCTTGCCAGGGGCACTGGGCAAAGATCTGGGTCGTACCGATCTGCTTCCTGTCGTACCAGCCCTGGTGGTCCATCCACTGCCGCAGCAGCTCGATGGGTGGCTGTGCACCAAACGTCTCCAGCATGGGCATGTTCAAGTCATCAATAAAAAAGACAAAGTACCGCCCGACTGGAGGCCCAAAGACACCCTTCCTCCTGTAGGGACAGAGCTGAGTAAGGACACGGGACTTGCAGAGGCACTCTTAATTCAAAAGCAGTTTTTCCTCCAGTGGCTTCCTGGGTCAGCAGTTTCAGCTTCTTTACACTCATGTCCCATAAACCCCTTTACGTATGAGCCTTTGCATGGAAAAGATCTAGTGTGATGTTTGAGGCACAATTTGGCACACTCACATCCAGTGTCAATTAAATGCGTGAGCACATGTAAAAATAAAGCTTGAGGCCATGAACCTGTTACAAATTTTAAACTGACAGGTTTGAAAAGGAAAAAGGGAGGCTGCTAACTATGGGTGGAGACTGGGGGTAGGACTGGGGATAGAATCACAGAATGAACCATAGATTCACAGAATAGTTTGGGTTGGAAGGGACATTTAAGATCGTGTAGTTCCACACCCCCCCTGGGTACCTCCCACCAGACCAAGTTGCTGCTCACAGTCCCATCCAGCCTGGTGTTGAGTGCTTCCAGGGTGGGAGCATCTACAACCTCTCTGGAGCAGTAGTCTTCTCCCCTTCATTAGTTTTTATAAACGCCCCATACTGAGGTTTGAGAACATTTGTGTAATTTAACATAGTAATTCTGGAATAACTATGATTGGAGCATCTTTTACAAGCCCTCCCTTATCCTTACCACTGCATCAAGTTATAACTGGCTCCCACAGCCCTAGCTCACATCCGCTGTTTGTCCAGCTTCTTACCCACAGATGTACGTGTCCTCCGTCCCTTCATCTCCTGGGATGAAACTACATGGTCAAGCTAATAGAAATACTAAGCTCAGGGAGCAAAAACCAAAAGGAAACTCGCCTCTTCTCCAGTTTGCTGTCAATGAGATCCTGAGTTTGGTTGGCAGAGGTGTGTGCAGAAAATGTCAAGAAGTGGCTGACGTATTTGAGAGGCAAGCTCTTCAAAAGCTTGTCTGTAATTGTAAGAGTCTTCCCCGTGCCAGTGGGACCGATGCAAAGAACCTAGAAGGACAACCAGCAGTACCTGCTGAAGGCGATGCAAGTTCCTGCCCTTCTCAGGCTTTCAAAAGATCAAAGAGGAGAGAAGGCTTGTTTTTTTTTCACTAAGGAAGGAGGTTCAGGGTAACGTATCTCTCAGCATGGAAGAAATCCAACAAGAAAGGTATGAAACGCAGTGGAAAGAAACAGGTAATGAAGGACAGTATTGGGCCATCATCCTAGGTGGGAGCAGACCTCTAAATTGGTGCATTTGTCAGGGTGTCTAGGGAGTGAATGGAAAGCTCTTGTTGCTTAGGCACAGCTCCTGAGCAGAGAAATGCAGATCCATAAGAATGAGAATTAATTTAAATGCATCAGGTAGCTGCCAGGTTCTGATTGGGCTGGGAGGAGAAAGGGTGCCTCCTGTTGAAGAGAAAAAACGTTGAATATAAAACCAAAAAGACAAGGGTGGGCACGTACTGGCTTACAGTTGATGAGCAACAGCTCCAGCAGGTGGGCCATTCGGACTGTGTTCACTGTGGGCACAATAATGTCACAGTAGTTGGTATCAGGAACCATGGTGAACTTTGCTGTGGGATCCAGCCACTTCTCCCAGCGCACCTGAAAGGTAGGAGTGCATTTAGAGGGGACATCTGCATTGATCTGCTTTCACCCGTCGCAGCTCCTTGTGTAGCAACTCAGTCCCTCTGTCTAGTCCTGCGTCCCATTACCTTCTGTAGTGCAAAGCTGACTTGCTCCCTCCAGGAGGGAGGTAGCTCAGAGTTAGAGATCATTGCCCCAGCAGCAGCACGTTTGCCTTTCCTTCTGAAAACTGGAATCAGAGACTGACAAAGCATTTGTGATATCTGCAAGAAGTGGGATTCTGTTCTAAGCCAGCTTATGCTGTGAGCGTCCACATGGCAGAAGGCCGAAAAGGGTTTTGCTGGGATCCTATCTTCATGTTTGGTGCCATCACCTCTGTTGCACTGAGATACACTGAGGTTTCAGATTATATAGGACATGGATGACTTGTGCTAGGATCAAGCCACAAGCTAATGTCCCAGGGATACAAGTGAGACAGTGCTTTTGCCAGGGATGTGCTACACAGCACTGACAGAAAAAACACATTCCTCAGCATCCCCTCAGACACTGACCCTGGCAAGTTCTGCTAATCATTTGACACACAGCGCTCTGGTACTTTGCTTCCCCTTCCTGAAATCAGAGGGATTCCTTATTTTTCACTGCCACTGGTGTCTGTTTAGTCAGATGGGCTTTGCATGCCCTACTGCTCTACTATCTGCTGTGCAAAAGATGGCATACCTGTGCCCTCTCCTCCTCCAGACTTTGCTGCACACAGCTCTTTTACTTCGAGCACTGCTTTTAAATGCAGACAGACCTCTGAGCTCCTCCCTGCAGCAGGAGCATTTCTAAAGCCCTCTCACTTTCCTGAGCACTGGTAGAAGATCACAGTTAAGGTTTGAAAAATCTGCCTCACAACCCCGAGGGCAAAAACTATCTTCCCTCCTTAATGAAATGCTTGGTTTTACTTCAAGCTTTCTCACTGGTTTCTTACAGGCTTTTCTTATTCATCTTTGATGAGAAGATTCTGCCGAATCTTACAGAACTGTTTTGCTTCCCAGTCCCTCCCTAAAATTTCTCCTCTTAGAGATGGAGGTGAATTATTTTACCTCCCAAACGACGTCCTCATCGAGATCATCTTCAGTGCTGCTCAGTCCAGCACTTAGTTTATAGTCATAAACCAGTCCTTCTTCTGGGAAAAGTAACTGGATCTGTGAGAATAAAGCCACAGTGAACCTAGCTGCTGCTTAGCTGAGTTTGCATGTGGGTCTGGCTGGATTTGCATGTGGATTGGCCTTACAGAAAGACTTCAGTAACGGGATGCTGCTCCTGCCAGGGGCTCCCAGCCCAGGGTTCCTTTGAAATTGGAAGACCTTGTAAACCAGATTTCAGGAACATGCCCAAACAAACCTTCCAGGCATTCAAAGAACTCTGACTCCCCTCCTCAATACTACTTCCTCTACAGCTGAGAAAGGATCTGCTTTCCTTTTACTCACCTTTTCCTTTGCCATCTTCTCCCTCAGCCACGTGCTGAAGGCGACACGGCCTTGGGAATCTCCAGTGGCACCCACACTCCAGATCAAGGCAAATACAAACCAGGGCTCAATCAGCTCTCCGATATGAGCTGCAGCCTCCTGGGGAGCCTTCCTAAATCCCTGGAAACCACAGAAAACCAGAAATAAAGTTCTCAAGCAGGGTTAAGGTGAACAAAAATCAGACTCTTTTTAGCCTGCTTGTAATTCTATTCAGAATACGTGTAGCTTTTTCTAGACCATTTTTCACAGGTCTTTTTGATGTATTCTGTGGATTAAAACTCACTGTTTCACTAATGTACCTGAGACACTCCCCTGCCTGAACTAATGTCACTCAGTGGGAGCTGAGAGAAGAATTTAATCCCTGGTTTTTAATTTGAAAGCTTTCCAGGCTTCTTCAATTCTAATTCTCAAAGAATCTGCCACCTGAAGTGTTTTGCTGCATAGCTCTGATCTCTGCTTTCTACTTATTCTCCAATTCCCTCAGCTGTAAATAAAAGTGAATCTCTTTTCCGCAGCCTGGTAGGACTAAAGCTTATCTTGTGCTCTTTCAATGGGAAAAGTATAATCCTTTTAACAAGATGCTGGATTACCTTCTGCCATACAGATAGGTGATGGTGTAAGCTTTCTTCACCAACACCTTGTATTCCAGTCACTCGCAATACGCGACTTACTGCCCTGAAGAGTTACAGGTGCACACATGTAATAGCAGCAAAAAGTCTTACCTCAGCAGGAACAAAAGGCTGAAACAAACATTCCAAGAGCGTGAGGAGGCTCCTCGTGAGGTTGCCATCTGTGGAGGCAATTATCTCCTCCACAGATCCCCGGACAAAGCCAATGGCTTCCTGTAAGGAGAGGCAGGAACAGCTCAGTGCCACCAACCTGCACGTTGGACTTTGCTTACCTTCTAGGGGTTCTGGTTTCTCTTTTTCTCCCTGCAGGCTACATTTAGCAGGGAGGGTACAACAGAGAGGGCTGCCGTGTGTCACAAACACCACCATTCTGAGTGGAGAGAATTAAGTCAAACCACGTGATTGCCTCCTAATTGAAAGAAGCCTTCGGGGTCTGCATTTGAGCCACTGCTCACATCACTGCTGTTGTTTGCTCTGTTCAGAGCTTTCCTTTGCAGTTCTGAGTTCAGGAGCAGAGCAGAAATAGCAAGACTTATGACTTTATCCCTGGAGTAACTCTACTGTAAGAAATGGAGCTGCACCAGAAATGACTGCGTCCATAACACAATTAGAAAGTCAAATATCCACGGAAGGGCTGTCACAGCATGATAGGTTACCGTGAGGAACCTCCTGAAGAGAGATGCCAGCTGCTGTGAGAAGGGCTGCATGACATCTGGGAGTTTTTGCAGCCAACATTCCGTGAAGGGCTCCAGCCCCAAGACGCTGGGTTCCAGGTAAACCATGCCACAACGGGAGACTGTGGCAGGGGATGCAACAGCCAAATCCTGCACTTCAAACATCATGGTCATACTCTGGAAATTCCAAAGGGGAAAAAAGAAAGGATCTCTTAGCATCATTTGGTGATGTTGAAACTGTTCTCTTTGTTGCAGGGCCCCTCTTGTCGCTACTTGAGCAGCTAGGAGGGGTAAGGCTAAGGGAAGGGGGCTGAGACATCAATTTCCGTTCAAGTCCATCACACACATCACGTGTAAAGTAAAAGGCAGCAAAAGGAGGAGGGATGAATTACCTCTGTCATCTTGATGATTTCGCCTGAACTGAGACACAGCTTCTTGTTGTCATCCAGCACTGTGTTCATGTTCTCAATCCAGAGAGCATCAACTGGCCCATCAAACATGTACCACTTCTTGCTAGTGTCAGTGGCCATGGCTCCCTGCCGGATGAGCGAGGAAAAGATTCCATCTGTCCTGAAAAGTGAGAGGAAAGGCTTGGTCCATCTTATTTTTGCAGAAGTCCACGGCAAAGCTTCAACCATACAAAACAACAGAGCCAGAATCTTATCTTAGTCCGTGCACCCAAGCATATCTGGGCCTCACTCGCTGATGAGCTATGGAAAAGCTTATCTCAGTCTTTTTTTTTTAATGGAGATGCATCCAGTCTGAGTTAGCACAATGAGACAGCACCGTTGGCCATTAGGATCAGAACTTCACAGCATCTAACCATAAAATGTCAAGTTTTAACTGGACCTTTGACACTTCTGTCCTCCGTGAAAAGTGAAGAGCCCATGCAAGTATCCAGTCCATATCATTAATTATCTGCTCTATGGAAGTGTATTTTATTTTCTATCAAGTGTAGAGGTGGTCTTGGGACAGCTATGCTGTTAAATCAAACACTCTGGTTGGGCACCTATAGGTTAGGAGAATGAAACCGGGCTAAAGAGTCCAGCTCTACCCTCCTTATGACTGAAGTTCCCATCATCAACTGTACCTGAATCCAGGTGGTGCAGGAGCTAGCAAACAGGAGAGCAGACACACAGGGAATGCTGGCTGCTGGCAGCAAGGACTTAATCTGCACACAGAAAACTGGAGCGCAGTGTCTGCTCAGACCCTAAGCTCCACTCCCATTATTAAATACATATTTATACAGTGATAGTGAAGTCCAGGGTATTTTACTGAGATCAAGGGAAAACAGTCTGCTCTAAAGCTCAGCTGATTAAAACAGATGGATTTATGTCTGCAAATGTGTTTCTTGTGGTTGCCATACTTTTTTTGTCATGTTGATGCGACTGTATGCTGCCCTTGGATAGAGTTACATCACATACATACATAAATAAACTATCAAGATTAACTAGAATATCCTATGGAACGACTGTCAGTAAAAATGCATGAGAGCCCAGGCTTGGAAGCTCTGGTTCTTGGCATCAGTAGTGCTTTCTTGCTTGCACTTTTCCTAGAGGCAATGAGTTTAATATCTATTTAGTATCCCTGGGTTTATAGAACACGCTCAATAGTTTGCTGCTAAGTGATGGGGGACAGGGCCATGGGGGGATTAACACAGCTTCTCACACCTTAGCCTCTGGATAAGTGAGCCACAAATGGAAACCCAAGCAGTAGGAGGACAACTGGGCTATTGAGATAGACAATCAGGCGCCTTGGCATTGGGAATGAAATGCTCCTTTGTGCCTGGAAGTCATCCCTCAGCATTATTGAAGGCAACCAGTATATTCATACAGAACAATCCAAGTGCGCAGTACAGAGATCACTTTCCTTCAGAAGCAAAGCAAGTTTTTAAGCTGCTTTATCTTAGAGCAGAGGAATTTGCTCCAAAGCAATTGAATTATTCCTTGTTATGCAGTTCATGCTGCCAGCTGAGCTGCTGTACTGTCTGGGCATGTGTTGGCAGCCAGGCCAAGTGCACAATAAAAGATGTCAGCTTAAATCGTCATGACTGGCTATTGTAGCTCAGTGAGGGATAAGAACTTGATTGCTTTTGATTTTATGCCACTATCCTAAAGAGTTCTCAGCTTTGAAGAGAAGACCCTCAAGACCAGAAGATAAGGGTATCCAAGCTGGAAGGAAGGAAAGCAGGTTTTGTACTTTACCACTCGTGCGTTAATAAGTTAAACTCTCCATAAAGCTGGCCCATTGTGATGGATTTGGGATTCAGTACAAAGTAGCTGACCGGTTCGTAATTCCCACCACTGGCTGCAGGCTGACCTTGCAGTGACGTCATTGCAGCTGCTAGGACTTCATAACACTGCAGAAGTAGGAGAGCAAGAGGATAAACGGCCATGGCTCCATAACAACAAAGCCGTGTGCTCACAGCAACTGCGTTTAAAGGGCAGTGAGAAAGGAGACACAGGGAAAGACAATGCCATAGCAAGAGGATGCCTAGCTGTACTCATAGAAACGAAGGATTTTAGGAGCACAGGGAGGAACTTTCATCTCCTTTGGAAAAAGCATCTTGAGGTGCCACATGCTGCTGGGTCCAGATGTTCAGGCTCAAAGTAGGGCTCAGCCTTAGAAATCTGCAGCAGTGCCAATAAGCCTCAGCTTAACCTCCCAACTCCAAAGAGCAAGCCACTATTGTACTTCCCCATGGGTATGAGCCAGTACTAAAAGGCAACATGAAACCAGCTTTGTCTCCTGGTTTCTATCTGAGAGAGGCTGGAAACGCTGCAGCGTGAGCCTTCTGCGAAGTTTAACCCTCTGCACTATTAGATGAGCAACAGTTTGCTGGGGCCAAGGTCACAGTGTTTCAACCATACCTTCGTCTTCCCAGAGCCTGTCGGCCCCACCAACATGAGGCCATGGCGAACCACAGTGGTTTCATACAGCTGGATGCATTTAGTCACAAAACCTGCAGAGGAAGGTGAAGCAGAGTGGGTCTGGGACCACCTGTCTCTTTCCTAGGGCACAGCAGTGGACTCAAAGCACAAGGCCCAAAGAGAGTGCTTGTGGAGAGCCTCCCCCCTCACCATCAACATCCTTCAGACTCTTTTTGACGCAGGCTCTGCGAATGGCTTCTTCCAGGATGCCATAATCAACAGGCTGTTCTTTGATCTTGGGAAATAAGTCGGAGACTATACCTCTGAAGAGCTTGAGGTCATCCTGCAGAAATTTGGGTATGTTGGCATCCCTGATAGCCCGCAGGCAGATCAGATCCTGCAAAGATTTAAGAATTCGTAACTTGAAAGATCCTGCCTCTCCTCTGAGGCTGCAGAAAAGGTGACATAAGCCTCTGACAGTGTGAAGCACAAGCATATTGACCTCATCCATAGTAGGATTTTCCTTTTTCAAGTTGCCAGCTGTTGAGATGACAGTCTTCACAGCTCTCATTCCAAAGTCATAGTGGTCCTAGAAGAGGCACAGAGGAGACAGCGTTATTGGATACGTGAGCATCACCTAAAAATCATCATATAATCATGGAATGGTTTAGGTTGGAGGAAACACAAAGGATCATGTAGTTCCAAGTCCCCCTGCCATGAGCAGGGTTGCCCCCCAACTAGCTGAGGTTGCCCAGGACCCCATCAACCTGGCCTTAAACCTTAAGCCCCTCCAGGATGGGGCATCCACAACTTCTCTGGGAGCTTGCTACAGAGCCTCACCTCCCGGTGTAACAAATTTCTTCCTAGCATCTTATCTAAATCTCCCCTTTTTCAGTTTAAAGCCAATTGCCCGTGTCCTGTCACTATCAAATCGTGTAAAAAGTTGATCCCCCTCCTGCTTGTAAGCTCCCTTCAAGAACTGGGAGGTTGCAGTGAGGCCCTCCCCAAGGCTTTCTTTTTCCAAGCTAAACAAGCCCAACCCTTTCAACTTTCCTTCATAGGGAGGTACTCTGTGCCTAGACTGAGAAAACTCACACATGTAAAACATATTCATGGACATTAAAGCATCTACCTGCGTGCTGAGCTGCTCTGACAATAGTTTGAACGTTGTGGTGATCTTCTTTGCAAGGACTTTAGCTTCATTAAACCCAAAGGAATAGAGTGAGATCTCAGCAATCATGGAGTAATCTGGGACCATCATCGCCACCGGACGGAAGAGAGCCTGCAATGTACAGTTCCAGCACAAGATAAAGCACAGGTTTGGGTTTTTTTCTTGCTTTCTTCCAGCAAACTGAAAAGGCTGAGTTTGTGCCTCAGATCTGTGCTGAGGGCACAGCATGAGTGTACCTGACACCTGTCGGGATGGCGTGCCTGCAGACTGAAAGATGAGAACCATCTGCTTACAGATGTGACTCAAAGCTGAAAGTCATCCCAGAAACCTTCCAAAATGTTATTTCCTAAACTTTGCAATGACCACACTGGTGGTCTGGTTGGCATCCAGTACGTGAATCGCACCTCTTCTTTCTGCCTGTGCTCTCTACTCTCATTACCTTCAGGTTATCTGGTAATTCAGTACGTCCTGCATATCCAGGGTTCATCGTGATGAACACCGCGCAGGATGGGACCAGGGGGATCTCCTTTCCTTCAAACATGAAGCGATCCACCTAGGAAATAAAAACTGTCATCCGTCTCAAAGCCTGACTTACAAAAAGGCAGCTGAACCTTTGGCGTGGCAAACAGAGGCTTTCAGGAGTTAAATTATGAAGCACAGCCATGCGCAGCTGCACCCAGCTGTAGCGATGCAATGTGGTCCCACTGCAGGAATCCACTCTTACCAGCAGGATTTCTCTCTGTTTAAGAAATCAGGCTCATAGAAGTTTTACTGATAGCACACTTTTTTATTTGTTGAACAGAGTTCTGCTCCTCCAGCTGTAAACAGACATCATCTTTTCAATATTTTTTTTTCTGCAGGAGAGTTTGGACCTGAATTAATCTGTGGTAGGAGAGGGCAAAAAGAAACTGAAATCCTTTTAGATCCGTGTAATTTCAGTAATTTCAGATAGGTGATAAAGCAGTGCAGAAGAATTCACAGACAGCAGGTTTCTAATTCCGAGTCAAAGTCAAACAGATTCAGGTCTTAACCCCTGTGAGTCTCCAGAGGAGCAAAGCAGAGGCTGGCTGCCAGATGGCTGACAGCTGAGTCTCCATGTAAAGCCAACAATTCATTTTACATTGCAGCTGTGAGTGCACGAACATGCATTTTTTTTCTGTGCACATTGGGTTTCATGAACCCACAAAAGCTTGGATCATGCATTTAGATAAATGTGGTGCTGAGCAACTCGCAGCAGAGGGTGACTGCCTTGTATCACAGCTCCAATTTTTACCAGCTCAGTGTCTCCCACACTGAAGTCTGCTGGCACAGCATCTCAAGCTGAGATTTTGAGTGTGGGCAATAGTGGCAGTGAAGGCTAAGGTGAGGTTATAAAACTCACCTACAGTGAACACAACAATCTGACACAACGTGCCACAGGTGGGGTATTATTTACACCTCTCTGAGCTGCACCTGTACTGGTCCTTTGTGACAGTGCATGCAAAGATAACTGTCTGCCTTTGCATCCCCATGCTTGTTACTTACTCTCTGCTGCTGTGCTTTCTGAATGGTTGTGATCTGCTGGGCCACCACAGACAGCACCTCGATATCAATGCGGTTGAACTCATCAAAGCAAGCCCACGCACCAGAGCTGAGCAAGAAGAGAAATAAGAGGGGAGTAAGGAACGTCAAACAGGAGCAAATACACTGCTGCAGGTTTATCTAGGCTTAGAAATTATAAAGTCACATATTGGGGAACAAGGAATGGACCCAACATCCAGGCATCACAGTGAACAGGAGCAGGAGCCATAGTCCATCACCCCAGCTATGCATCCCAGGTCAAGGCCATTTTTCACAGCTTGGAAAGCTATGTAAAAAGCTGGAAGGCATTATAGGTGGGTAATCTTCCCACAAAGCATGGTTTAAAAAATAATTTCTTACAAATAAAACATCTGAGAAAAGAGTGTCAGCATTTGTTAGAGTAACTAATTCAGATTCACCAGCATGCAACAGACTAATTGGACCAGTTCTGTTTGATACACCGAGAAGAGGAAAGCTTTTCTGAGAGCATTCCTCAGGGTTTAAAGCAATCTCTCTTGGATACTCAATTGCAGATACACCCAGCAAGCTCTCCTTAACATTAAGCTGCCTCTGGGCTGAATCTCAGTCCAACGTGAACAATATTAGAACAAAAGCGAGAGCTGGAAACATTTGCACAGGTGTCTAATAGAGGGCTGGTGCAAAGCATTTTAATTCCGCCTTAAATGAACAGGATTTCCTTTCATTTTTATTGTTTTAATTGGCTCAACTGTCCACCTATTCTGGCTGTTGTGTAACTTTGCTCATGCTGGAACACAGCAACCTTCTTAGTGCGGCTTTGCTGGTTCTTTGGGGCTGTTATGAAAAATACCCACCTATATTTCCAGCAACCAGCATCCCTACCCTCTTGTGGGCGATGACACGCAGTGTTGTACCTGGCCAGTCCCTTGAAAAACTTCCCCATTGCCATGAAGTCAAGCTGGTCAGAGCAGTTGAACACTACAGTTTGGATTGCCAGTGCCTTCCCCAGCTCTTTCGTTGTTTCTGTTTTGCCTGTTCCTGCTGGTCCCGCAGGTGCTCCTCCAAATTTCAGGTGCAAAGCTCCTGTAAGCGTCAGGTAACACCTGCAACAAAAATGAGACCAGATAACGAGAAGTATTTCCACTACTGGCTTCAGGAAAAGGAGAAACGAGCTCTCCAGATGGAGACAGGCAGGAATCCATCATTTATTTTTCTGCAGAGCTGCTTAGATATGCAGCACTTTGTGAAGGAGTTAGCTATGTGGCCTTGATTAGTATTCATGAGGGCCTGCATGGATAAATCCTCCTGCCACTGGCTATAAATTCACTCCCCAGAAAAAGGACAGTTACAAAAGGGTGTAACTATTATTACTGCTGCATATTCCAGAGTATTAGATATCCTTTTTATAGTGGTTTGCAGAAGAGCTCCTTAGCTATCAGGAGGGCATTTTAGACGAGCCAGAGTGCTGCATTAAGAACCAAAAGAAAGTAAGCAAATCGGTGTGAGCACTGATCACTAGGAACACAGTGGGACCAATGCCAAGGTGTTCTATCTCACACAGACAATTACTGCACAAACGATTTCTATTTACATACATTAAGAACCAAGCCTGACACGTTCAGATTCTTGGTTTAAGCTCCCACAAGGCTTGTTCCTCCAGAAAAAGAAGGTACATTTACGGCCCAAAACCCAATTTCCTTACCTGTCAGTGAGGGGTGTGATAACTAGGCGGCCAGTGTTCCCAAGATACTCATAGCCATACACAAATTCAGCATTGACTGCTCTGATGTACAGGTCTCCCTTGGTCCAGTAGGATCTAGTGATGAGTGAACACGACACCAGAAGGATATAAGCCTTCTGGCAGACAATACATCAGCTCATAGAATTACAGCCTGCGGGTTCAGAGACCTGCATGTCATGATTTGCCTTTAGAGAAGATAAGGTAACACAGCGGGATGTTCAGAGCTTTCACAGGACCTGAAATGAGGTTTTCTATCAAGCACTGCACTCCTACTCAGGCAGAAGCAAGCCCTTTTACACTGAGGCATTTGAGACTCCGTGGTATAGCACAGTCTCTATTGCTGAAGTGTCTAAGTCTGTCTCAGATGCCTTAGAACTGGCATCTACAGGAGACTTGAGTCCCACTTCTCACAGGGATGTTAGAGGTGCCTCACAAATACTGCTTACAGATCATGCAAACACTTGTTTCCATTTGTCACAGACGTGGCTGATGGGAGAAGAAAATAAAGACTGGCCAGGGAGACCAGGTGAGGTTCGACAGCTGAGCTCTCTACCTGAGCTGGGAGATCCACTCGAAATCATTCACGCTCGTCACATTCTCCTCGATCAGCTTTGCTGCAACATCCTTGGCATGGACCTCAATCACAATGAGAGCTGACATCACTGCTCGCTGCATCTTCGACAGTTTGCCACGGACCACAGCAACCAAATCAGCCAGCTGGGTAAGGAAAATACTGTGGAACAATCCATACCCCAACAACCCAGGAGTACTAACACGATGCAATCAACCTTACTGCCTGCTAAGTACAGACCACAGGTTGTGTCCCAGCAGTTTCTGCCTCTTTCTTGTCAGAGAGGTGAATGTTCAGGAAGCAAATACTGCTCAGGGCTGCCTCAGGGCTGACTTGCCATGGAGCTTCAGAGAATCACAGAGTATCAAGTTGGAATGGACCCCAAAAGGTCATCATGTCCAACTTCTGACTCCACATAGGACCATTCAGAATTCAAACCTTATTTTTGCAAGTGCTCTTTAAACTCCAGCAGCCTGGGGCTGTGACCACTGCCCTGGGGAGCCTGTTCCATGCCCACTTCCCTCTGGTAAAGAACCTTTTGCTAACACCCAGCCTGACCCTCTCCTGACACAGATCCAAGACGATCCCCTCATGTCCTGTCACTGTCACCAGAGAGAGGAGATCAGCACTGCCCCTCTGCTCCCCTCTGGAGGAAGCTGCAGGAGTTTGCAGTGATACTATTAGCAGTCCTCGCATTATTTGAGATTTATGACAACAAACGTCCTAATCATTAAGATGATGGCAACCTGTTACTTATTTCTTGAACCATGCCACGCAGGAGTGCATTTCCAAACAACACCCTGTAGCGACATACATGGAGCCAACCAGGTTTTGGGAGCTGATTTCAGGTAGTATACATGTGGTGGTTCAGGTTAAGAGACAAAAGCACAACCCTTGGAATTCTGATGGTGCAGTATGTCAGTGTTTCTGCTATAGCAGATTGTCCTGCCTGTATTCACAAGCTATCTGATGACCGAGAAGTTCAGTTCTGACAAGATCTTACCTTTACCTTCATTTTCCTACCTGAGCACTCAGCTGTGGGAAAAGCCTGCTGGACAAATCTCCTGATTCCAGAGCTTCAGACACCTCCTTTGTCCAGAAAATCTGACAGCCAACAATGGTCACCTGGCCAGGCCATTGCAAGACCCACGTAGTACGAGGTGTCTTGAAAACAAGAAAATAAATGACAGTAAGAATGACCCATTTCCTACTGTGAGATGCATCATTAACAAATAAGAACTGAGTTATTATTGAAGAGACTTTCCTTATTTATTTACTTTTTATTTCTTATTTTCTACCAGCATAGCTTTTACACAGAAACCAGAACCAAGATGCATTCCCTGTGATCACTGACTGTTGCCTTCACTGGACCTCAGCACAGTGTGTGAAACATGAGTGCTGGTGAAGACCTTCTAAGAGAGTATCCTTCCACGAAAGAAGAGGGGAATAGAAAAGGATTCAGAGGGCTGTTCTGTGATACAGGGAGGTATTTTGTAGCAGTCAAATCAGCGTGCAGAGCTTGCATCCTCTGGACCATGCACTGTTTGCTGAACTGTGCCTTCTGCAGGTTGTATTTAACAACTGGTAGAATATCATCAGTTCGTTAGCCCCATCACTGGTGACTTCTGTGGTAAGCCTAGGACCAAGTCACCACAGAACTGCAAGTCTGTGATAAAACTCTCACCTCTGGATAAACACCAACTGATCTTTCTATGTTGTCCCGTACGCTGGCCTTCATGGATTTCTCAACTTCCAGCAGCCAGTCCTCCACATTGTCAGTGGGATAAATGGCAGCAAACAGCTTCACCTCTTCTCCTTCAGCAGAATACATGTGTGTGATCTGCAGATCCTCCTGGAACTGTAGCTAATGTAGGAAACACAACAGGAGACGTGAATGGCAATTTTCTATCCCTGCCTTCCAGCCACAGAACGACAGTCAGGATACAGCATAGAATGCTCACTATAAATGTGGTGCCCAACTTGGCTGGGAATAACAAAGTGTCACAGATGTGCAAGACAGCCTCCTCAAAAAAAATAGGAGGGTGATCACACAAAAATAGGAGATTCACATCACAGGTTTTGTTCAGGTGAAGCAAATCGAATTATAGGTGGGATGAACATTTCTCAGCCTGTCTGGAATTCAAACCCTTGATTCTTGTTCAATTCTGTAGATTCAGGTTGTTTTCCTTGAGGTCAGAGTGCCTGGTTTTAAAAGTAAAATTTTAACAGCTTCTCTGCTGCCACAGCATATCACTGACAGTCCCCTTATTTATTCCAATAGCTTTGCATCAGGTTTCCAGTTCAATTTCCTTTCTATTTTCCCAAGCTAATGACTAGGAGATTGGTTTCCATGTCTGAGTATTGCTGTGGCGTGAACTGTGTCTAGCGTGGAGTCTGAAGTCAATTAGGAATAATAAGGAGGAAAATAGCAGGGTTAACCCCACCCAGCCCCTAAATCAGGATGAAAGCAGAAACTCAGTTCAATTTAGCCTTGTTTACTCCCTCCTGAGGCTGTCTGTAAGCAGGGGATACCACCCTCACCAGGTGTCTGTGAGTAGAGAGCTACGTCTGAGCTATTTAGCAATTAGGCTACTGGACAAGATGATCTAGTGAAAGATGTCGCTTGTCTGCGGGTGCAAAGAGCCAACACAAATCCAAACCCAAATCATTCTGCTACTCTATTTCTCCCAGCCTCCATGGTGAGACAGACAGGTATTTTCAGGAGCGTCCACTCCTCCTTAGTTGGTCATCTAAGAAACATTCCAGTAAGCTGTCTTTTGCAGATGCCTGTCTTCCCCCGTTGTCTAAAAGGAAATCATGTGCATCCAGTTCACAGGCACATGTCTGGCTCTGAAACGTCTGAAGTGAGGTTGCTCAGATCCCTCTCCAGAGCAGCCAGTTAACTGTGGAGAGCTGTTCTGCCAGAGATGTATTTTTATGCTTTGCAGACTCAGTGACTTACCCACCCCACCTCTTTTCTTAATGCTGTTCAGAAAAGGCCAGAATGAACTCAAGGCTTTTATCCCTCATGGAAGAGGGAAGCTGCCTGAAAGAGCCAACTTGTTGCGTTCTCCTGGTGGCTGTTTGCATCTTGCAGTGCTCCACAGTCACAGGCTTACAGGAGATACGTTTCCATACAGCAGAATATGAAAACTCCCCCAGATCTCAGAACGCCCCTAAGTTCCCATGACATGAGCTCCCCAGAGGTGGGCCAAACCTTTAAGTGCTTGCTTTGCTTACCCGTGCAATGTTCTCAAAGCATTTCCGAAGGTGAGGCTGTACAGCAGTGGGGTCTTTTGTCTGGGACAGTATTTCCAGCAGCTCATCGTCCGAAAGGAAGTAGAACCTGAAAACAAAGATTGAGCTGTGGGAAGAGATTCTTTTTAACACAGCATCACGGATGGAGTCCTGGCAAGAGGAGGAACAAGCCCCATTTTTGACTGCTCATCGATCTCTCTGTATTTGTGTAGAAGTGCCAGCCATGGTCTAGCCATCTACCTCTCTCTACTTCTTCATTAATCAATTACATTCATGAAAAGCAGCTTTCAAAGAATAGCAGCATTCCTTCAGGAATAAGGGGCAGTTACATGGAGGTTGTTTTGCTTCCTGCCATCCTTTACAGACCAATCCCAACGGAAAGGCACAGATACGCACCATGCAACCGGACTGCCCTTCACTTACAACTTCTGTGCCTGCCTGTATTCTCCCCATCAGATGGCAGCATTGAAAGGCACAGCCTTTCTCGATGTTTGCACTCTCATGACAATACCATAAGCTTACACTTTTTTGCTGTGCTCTTTCTTGGCACAGTTAACTGGAGTGAACCACTCCTTTCGTATGTTCTGAATCAGAAGGTGTGATCCAGCCCACTGAAATCTGAGGTTACCTGGGAAAAGCACCTCTCTTGGTCTCCAGGTATTCACTCAGCCCTTTCTGCACAAGCTCCAGTAATTTGTTACATTTTTGCAGGTTTTCTAGCAGCACAGGATCAGGGCACAAAGACATCACCTATAAGCAGAGCAGGGACACAGGAAACGTCAGTATTCTGAGCACGTGGGCATAAGGCACTGGAGATAATTGAGCTGCCCAGTGGATAGGATCAAAATGATTCATTCACAAGAGAGCTTTCACAAGGATCTGCAGAGGTGTGAGCTTTGTGGGCAAGGAGGGGAAATAGTACTTATGAATATGACAAATATATGTCTGGATTCCTTTAAATACTAACATTTGTAATAAGGAAGACAAGTGGTGATGGAGTCCTGGGAATTGGAAAGCAGAGGAGTGCAGAGCACCTGGATTGGGACACAGAAACCAATGACCCTAAAATACCTTACAGATTCAGCCTTGAGGAAGAATTGAAGGTGTCTTGTGGTTAGAGTTGGAGCTGGGTACAAGAGTTGTTGGACAGTCTTTGTGCTAGGGAAGACACCATGAGAGACAGCAGACTGATGCAAGACTTCACAGAGAATGACTCTGTGGACTTAGCATGGAAAGCTCATGGTCCAAGAGAAGAAATCTAGCACACTGATCTGGGCAAGGTCTTACTGTTTATACAGCACTGATCGTGCCCAGATCATTGCAAAAGCAATAACTCTTGTGTGATACAGCTCCAAGGAATTTGGGATAACTGCGATTTATCAAGGCACTCACCTCAGGATTTTCATTAGCGTTCTTCATGATGATCCTCCAGTCTGCATCCATCATCTGAAAGCGCTCACTTTCCACTGGCAGCTGTCTTTTGATGTCTTCTGACCTAAAGATGGGCTCCAGATAGAGCCAAGAGCACTGGCAGTTCAACCATTCCTCCAGGACATCCTAGTGGGAAGGACAGGACACCTCTCCATGAACCTGTTTGACTAAAGCAATCAAAACTGGGCAACAAAACGTGCTAAGAAATGAATGAATAAAACAAAAAAGGAACTGATGCTGCACCTAAACCTACCACAGTGTAAATTGCAGAGCCAGGAACTGGAAGGTCCTTCTCCTCAGAAAATAAACAATAAAATTATGTAAACACTCCTATTGCTAACTGCTGTCAGCAGGCATCAGAATCAGCACTTATGAGTTTAATGGAGGTGGTATGGATCTACGTATGAGTTGATACTTGATCTCAAAGGGGCTTTGTGGTGCCAGGTCAAATTTTTGTGGCTCGTGTTTCCGTATTTCACAGCAGATACTGCTTTTGTAAAATGAGCTGGGAATTCATTTTGTGAAAAGAGCTTTTTTGGGCAAAAAGAATGACAAATAAAACACCTCAGACTGTGCAGTTCTGTCACATCCTCTCCCCTGTCTCACATAAACTAGCTAAAGCCTTGCCTACAGAACAATCCACAAATAGATCTTCAAACAATCTTCTCCAAATTAAGAGAACGAATGAAAAGTCAATCATTTAAGGTAGATATCAGAGTTAACCCTGTTTGTCATGCATTTGCAGGAAGACTGGAAGGTGTGGGGAACCTGCCTAAGCCCACAGAGTGCTGTGTCTGACTGCCTTTCTGCCTGCCAGAGGAAAGCAGCCTTGCTTACAGGAAGCTGTCTTCTACCATTCCCTGCACACATGCAGTCACTTGACCTAGCAAGAAGTGGTTTCCTCATAATGCAGACAGCTGTGTTTGCCATACCCCATCAGCTAACCCTGCTAAGCCACATCCCAGGAGAGGATTCATGAGCCTTTACAGACAGGAATGAGCGAAACCTAAGGAAGAAGTAGGAAAGGCAGGGTGCAAACAAAATGTCACAGCCAAAACTACGCAGTAAATAACTGCAATTCCCCACATCACCTTCTGCCTTAGGGCTTACAGTAGCATTTCTGTATCCTTGTGAGACAAGATCAGCTCTCTAGCAGCCTATGGCCCAAGCTCACCCAGATGGTAAGCACCAATAAACAGGCAATTATGAATAACAAGCAACAATGCTGCTGTAAATCAAACACAGAGTTCTCCAGCAAGACAGTTATACAGAAGTTTTTCCCCTGCAACAAAATGCTGTTCTGCTGGTAGAGCCCTGCTGCATCCTGCACACTCAGGCTCAGGTCTGACATAGAAGGCATCGTTTGCCAGATCTTGTTCTGAACAGCAGCATTCTATCCTGTGATACGTAAATGGTTTTGTGTGGACAGCACTCAGGCTTTAGTTCAACATGATTAGCACATGGCTTGTAAAGAAGCTGTAAGGTCCACTTAGTGTAATGTTATTAGAGATGCCACCAAAAAGTGTTGTCAAAGGTAGTAAAAGGGCTGAAATTTCATCACTTCTGTTTGCAGAATAAGGCACTGAGTTTGTCTCCTTTTTTCAGAATCAGAAAGATTTAACCAGACTTCTGCCTCCCAAGAAATGATCTTCCTGACAGTTGTGTAACCCCCCACAGTGCCGATGTTAAAGCATGGCAGCACGTGCTGGATGCTGGCCTTCAGATATATGTAGCTAAGAGACTAGTACCTGAGTCATCTTCAGCTTATTTTCCCATGTGTTCATTCTGTCCTCAAAAGGCTTTTTGAATGGTGAAAAGGACATGCTCTGAATCATGACAATATGATCATCTAGGAGCTGAGAAGCTTCATCAGTGTTCTTCAGAACAAAGGTACCCGTGTCTTTGTAAAGCGACACAGTAAATGAAACAGAGCTCCATTCACTCTCCATCTTGTTGAGTGCCTAGAACAGAGGGACAAATTTAACTCTCAGGTACAACCTATGCGATGGTTATTGCATCTCCCACATCTCTCCTAATGCCTGCTGACAGATTTTTGCCCTTGGATTTCACTGAAAACTGCAGCTGTGTAGATAATGCATCCATTTGCCCATGGACTCAACGCCTTGATGCTGTCCTAAAAGGACATCTGGAGAGGAGAAGGCAGTTTCAGAATCCGGAGCATCACTGATACTACTTGGATGCACAGAGGATGCCAGCAGAGTTTCTGTTAAGGATAATGGTTATGATGGCTTTGTGGAAGGGGCAGCTATCCACTGGGAACTCACCTGAGATCTCAGAGTACAAAAACTGCCATACAGTAATGATTTTCAATCAATACCACCTTAGATCACATCAGCACTGATGAACTGAAACTGGAAGACTATCCAGCCTATAAATCTCCAGAGCCAGCAAATCCTCCCTGCACGCATTCACCACATGGAAGGATTTGCGACCTCCATTTCTAGTCACAGCTAATCTTCCTGACATGACTTTTGGCAGGCAGAACACTGTCAATCGATTGATTTTAACTTGAACAGTTACCAATCTCACAGTGAGGTGAGGGAACCAACCAGTGGATCAACATAGCCATCAGGTAGTGCTGTCACGCTGCAACTGTAGGTTCCTTGCAAAGCAAAATAACTTCCAGTGCACAAATTTAATCAGGTGGCCATTGCTCCCATCTCTAAGGGACTCCTGAGATGTGCTGCAGAACGCACATAAAGCTCTGGAAGCACATGAGTGCCACCCAAGGCAACGAATGGCTGCTCAACACAAGTCCAACAGAGATATCCCTACAAACAATGGGACACAAATCCCTCTCTCCTCACATTCTCAATAGCGTATTCCTTGCCAGCTATCTCAGCCACTTTGGTAATACTCTCAATATGGTCCTGCAGGTTCATCTCCAAACAGCGACGAAGCGTCAGATTGGATTCTAGCTTGATATCCATGTTCGTATCTTCTGACAGCATCTCCCAGTGCCGCCTTTTCATACCAGGATTGTTCAGCCCTTGGATTAAGGGGACGTAGAGTCGGAACTCTTCAATCTTGTCTCGGAACTCCATTGCCACCCCCTGGCATGCTTTCAGGAAGAGAAGCGGCAAAAAAAACCCATCAGCAATAACAGCGTGTGAGGAAGTAGCCTTAATTTCCTACAAAAGTTACCTAAAGCCTGAGGTGCTTGTAGACACAGGGTATGGGCAGGAGACACAGGGTAAAAGCAGCAGGAGAGAAAGCAACGGAAAAAATGCAGGCTTAAAGACCCTGCATGGCAGTGCTGCGTAGTGGCAGCGAGGATGTGAGCACCCCACATCCCTGCTGGTGGCATGCAAAGGCAAGGAGGCTCAAGGCCAAAGCACACATTACACCAGGTGGAAGGGAATATTGCCACGAATATCAGCAGGTATTCTTAGTATTTCTGTTTACCATAATGATTCATAGTTACGCATCCACTCATCACCTCCTCCACTGGGGCTGATTCATGGCATTGTTTAAGAGAGAGTTCAAGTTAAAAAGGATGAATCAAAAATTTCCCACTGCAAAATATATTTCAATCTAAGCCATCTGGTAGATTTTAGAACTAGCTCCAAAGAATGACCAACGGATCTCCCAGCATCAAGGAATGGGAAGTTAAGCTGTGACTGAACACTCAATTCCACTTTTACTAGGGGTGATGATAAGAAGATCTTCATGTGACTTGCAAGGGCTGGATGAGATCATTTATATTTCATATACATTTGCATAGGAAGAAAAACAGTTCCTGCATTCTACAGATTATTTCCAGTCCCAGCAATTTATTTTTTTTTAAAATAAGATCCTTTTATGACTTTCCATTAAATTAATTGGCCCATGGAAGAAATAAGATTGGCCAAAGAACAGCACCCAGCTTCAAATCTCTTTCCTGCCTGACCTAACTAAGGCTTTAAACCCATGAGCCTCTGGCCTCTCATTAGCCACCAGACTACATATTAATTCTTTATGAGTAACTAGATAATATTTAATAATTTGTACAGAGTGAAACAAACTGCAGCATAAGAGGATGGCTCTTATCTCAGTGCTGTCTTGAGAATTAGGTATAAGAGTAATCTGGAGGGTGGTTGTTTCTATGCCAAACTAGTACTTGAAGCAGCAAAACTAGCATCTAGATGTGAATCATACTTACAGAAAAAAAAAAGAACAAAAAAAATAAAGAGAAAAGCCGTATGAGCAGTTTCTCAGCTGGCTCCAATACACACCACACACTCATGTGACATCCTTACAGTTCCCTGTTCTGAGCATGCTGTGATGTTCTTCATATCAATACGTGCACCACCATCCTTTCCCCACACAATCCAGGTACCTGGTGAGTTTTTGAACTGCCTCACGCACTTCTGCATTGTCTTAAAAGAGTTATTGACGTTCTTTTCTAGCTGCTCAGCTTCAATTTCAACGAGGGGACCTTCCATCCAGCTCTTACACCAGTGCAGCCAGTCTGACACCGTAGTCCACAGATCACAATATGGCTGGAAGTCCTTCACCATCCTGGATAGCTTCTTGTACTTTAGAAAGAAAGAAAAAAAAGCATGTCAAAAGGCTTAAAAAGGGCACAATTCTTTTTTGAACCTCAAGCAAGCAATGAGAAAACTACTCCTTTCAAGAGGATGCATCAGACTGTCTTCTGTTGGGACAGCAACATGGATTCCAACAAAGAGCAACCAGCAAAGTTGGGCATTACATGGCCAGGCTGCAGCACACCTGGGATAGAAAGCACCCCCCCAACTTTCCTTACAAATGCTCTGTTGTGAATGAAGAGGCCTTGATGGGCAGCCCACGTACACTCAGAAGCTCACAGTGCACTTCCTTTTGAACATATGGGAATTTGGGTCCTTACAGTGAAATAATCACAGCCTGAGAAGTAGGAAAGCACTGTGTAAGCTTCACTTCTGCTCTGCAGCCAGACTGGGTTGGATGTGGGTGACAGTGACACATTGACAGCTGAACAGCCACAGGCAAAAATGAGTATTTCTAACCATATAAACTGTTGCTGTAGGAGAACATGTCACCATCTGAGCCACCACTGCTCACCACTATGCAACCACTGTCATTTACATCCACACAACTGCAGTAACTGCCTTACACAAATCGATGCATATTATCTGCTGCATTGAGACCCACCTCTCTGACTCCTCTATCAACATCACTCAAGTCTGAGCACGTACACCCAAAATCTCTTGTAGAAAGGGCAATATAATCCCTGGATCCATCCAAGGCCAGGCTGGATGTGGCTCTGGGCAGCCAGGTCTTGTGGCTGGCAACCCTGCACACAGCAGGGGGTTGGAACTAAATGATCATTGTGGTCCTTTTCAACCCAGGCCATTCTATGATTCTATGATGTCAGGGTCATGAACACTCATCTGGGACCAGCTCTTCTTCAGCACGGAGTGATAGAGCAGCACAGCCACTCTATGGGATTAAGGAGTGCCCCTAGTCAGCATCAGAAAACCCAGAAGAGCATGAAGACTTTCTTCTGGAGCAACTGTGACTTATTAGTTGCTCTACCTACCTACCTACCCAGGAGGCCCAATACAGGTTAGGATTCTCTAGGTATGGGAATACTTACATTAGTAACTTTCATCCCAAAGATTTTTTCCCGGTTGTTGTAGAGAATTGCTAAATTCTGAAGCTCCTTCAGCTGCTTCCCGACCAGTCTTGCTTCGTTAGCCAAAGTATGAGCTTGTCTGATGTCCACCTGGACAGAAAATTCACCTACAGTCAGCTGGAAGAGAAAAGGCAGGCGTGAGGTGGGGCTGAGAACCTGAGTTCTGCAAATCTCAGCTTCCTGGTGTGCTCATTATATTCAAAGTTAAGATTTTTCCCAAACTCTGCCCCTGTTTCAGGGTCTTCCATGCAAGGTGAGCTCCCTGACTTCTCTTATTTCACCCTTGATGGCAGCACATCATGGAAGATGCTTTGTAGGGAACTGAGTACATAAGAAAGAAGTGCTTGTGATGCCCAAGAATCAGAATATTGTGTATTACTTTTGCAGAAAACACTGATTTTTCACCAGGAAGAGTACTGTATTAAAAAGTAAATTAAAAAAGAAAGTCCTAAATGAAAGCCCAACTACAATAAAAAGCAGAGGTTTCTTTTGGATAATTTTGGGCCCAATAATACATAGACCTAAAATCACTTAAATCTCATCTGAAGTTTTCCATGGGTAACCACAAGATGTTTGAAGCCCCCCCATCTCTGGACAGTTTATTGTCAGGAGTTTAATACCTTCATGTCCTCCAGTTTCTCTTCAAACATGTTGTGATCCATTAGTTGGATTTCACGGAATCTCTCTTCATCCTGCACGTGTTGGAGCTGAACAGCCTCCGTCTGCACAGCTATTTTCAGGGGCCAGTAACTTGCAGCCCACCTGCACTCACATGATGCCATGAGAGAAAGAGAGAGGCTTTTTGAGCATATGTTTGAAACGCTGAAAAGAACAGAATGAGAAAGCAGACTCCAACCAAACAGGGAAGCTTTACAAAAACAGAAATTCATGTGGTTTTGACAAACAAATCTTCCCAGTTTCTTGTTTCTTTGTAGCCCTTATGATGAGGCTATTGAATTTGAGAACTCTCAAGAGAGGTGGAGGGTCTTTTTAAGAGGTACAAATCTAGTAATCTTGCTGAAAAGCAGGAAGACAGCAAAACAACAGTAGGCATCCAGACGGAATGTCTTTCTTTGACTGTGTTCACAAAGAACTGGAACAAATGGGCTGAGAGTTTTGCATTTTAGCTTTTCAGGACTACTGATAAAACCAGTTTCCTGTTAAGCAGGGAAGTGAGAGACCAGGATAACCCAGATAAAGTGAAGCCCTGGCATTTGCAGAGTGCTCCAGGAAGCATGATGCAGATATAGGAGAGGCTGTCCAATGTGGCTGCTTATTCTAAGGCATGTTTCTTGGTTCTTACTTAGTCATTGCTCACTATTACTCCATTTGGACTCGTGAGCTTGTGCAACGCCAGATGCAAGCTCTGCATCATTACACTCAAGGCCATGGACCTGCCAAGCTCCTGGGGATGCAGCCACCACCTAATAGTGCTGCACGTGCCAGGTTTGGCCAGTAGACCCAATGCTAAGCTGTGCTAGAGCTGAGCTGCTTCTCTGTGGAGTTTCTGTGGGTTTTTGTTTGTGGGCTGTTAGTTTTTTTCTGCACTGTGCAAAGGTCTCCAAAAAACCAAGACAGAAGAGCTTTAATATGTTTAAACAGGTTAATAACTACCAGTTTGCCTTGGCCCAGGCCTGAAGGCAGCTTGAGTCCATGCTTCTCTGTAAGCTCCATTTCAAGAATTCAGTGCTCATATAGCAGAGTGGCACTTAAAGGTTCTGCTGGAGCTTTTGATAGACACATAGACCCTGAAGCACTCAGAGTAGCAATTGCTGCAAAGCGTCCCACTTTGACAGTGGGAGGAATGACACTCGTGCTCACTTGTCATTGAAATCTTCCTCGGTGAGATTGTAAAGGAATTCCTCCATGACTTTGTAATCTTCCATGACTTCACAAATCAGTTCCTGCACACGGTGAGAGAAACAGAGCAAAAAAGACACCTTTAGAACACGTTAATCCCAACACCGTTTTCATGAGGTGCCTTTGGAGGGCCTTAGTCACACAAGCTTAATGGGATGGAAGGCTGCTTCTCTGTTGTGTGAACAGTGGAAATGAATTTCCAAGCTCTCCTTCCACTAATGATCAAGCCACCGTATCTCTCTCTGTTCTACATGAGTGAAACGTGCTGGTCAGAAGTGGAGTGCTTTGGGTTATCCTCCAGCTTTGGGTTATCCTTCAGCTTTGGGTTATCCTCCAGGTTGTTCCCTTGGCATGCACAAGTCAGCTTACAGCTTGCTGCATTTGTTTATCGTGCACAACTGGAAAGAGACCTACTCAGCAAACTGCTTTGGGGTAACTCAGCATTAAGGTGTCCTATTAGAAGAAATTAGTTAAGCACTATAAGCATTTGGTAGCAGGAATGCTTTCTTGAAAGCAGTATTAATTTTCAATGTTTTTTAGTGTTATACATATTTAAAAATACAATTCTGATAGCTAGGAATCATATGGCCTTGCATACATAGACAAGTAAGTTTAAAACAATGGATTTTTGCTTGAGACACCAAACATTGCACTAACAAGTTTTCTCCCCACTGCCCTTGGTGCCCATGGGAAGAGCATGCCCTACCTCCTGCACAGCCAGCTGCTCAGGGACTGCCTTCATCCACTCCCGCAGCTCAGTCAGCTCCTCAATATTGTGTGGTGCCTCACGTATCCTCGAGCTGACAGCTCTGTACGCATCGCAGATCTGCAGGAGGACGAAGCAAAAAGACCATCAGGTGTGCAGCTTCAGCATGGGGCTAGCAAGCCTCATCTCATTGAGAACTGGAAGCAATAACTGTCTGTATTTCAGTCGTCTTCAGAGCAACTAGAAGGATATTTCAGCCTCCTATTAGGTGGAGGTTCTCAATCCACAGACACATTCCTATAAGATGGCAGGGGACTTACATCTCAAAAGATTTTTGTCAGGCACATAAATCATCTTTTGGTTGAGTCTGTGCATCTCTCCTCCTGATTTCTTTATTTATTAACAAATAACTCCAGCATAATCTTTCTCATTAATACGGGCTCAGTTGCTGCCTTTTGGCCATCTCACAAACACAGCAATTTCAAAAGCAGATGGACAAGACACTGACAGGCAACAGATCAAACCAGGTGACTTACATTCTTCACCCTTGCATGGAGGTTTTCAGCCAGTAAGTCCAACATGGCAGTGGCAAGTGCACTGTACTTTTTGGACAAGTTTGTCTTAACGCCTTCTACTCTGACACTGAAGGGACCAATGATGACAGAACTAGGTAGAGAATTGTCCAGGTTTTCCTTTTCAGACAAGTATGTGTTCACTATAGTCGTTACCTCCTGGGCAGATGGACATTGCTCTTGGTAGTCTCTGCAAGTAAAAGCACCAACAAAAGTAATCACGTAGCCCTTAAGTTTATCTGAATGCCCCTGCTGTTCAAAAGATGTCCAGACATGCCCACCCAAAGACATGAAGTTAATAAAGTGTTCACAGCTACTAGAACAGATCCTATTTGAATGCATACAACTTCTGTAGCCACAGACTGAGAGGCCACCAATGCCTTTTAGACATGTCTGCATAGGGAGTGAGGAGTGTGTTTATATCACAATAAAATACAAGAAGACACTGAATTGGTGTGCAGCTGGGGAACATTACAGGGGAGGAAGAGACAGGACAGACACAAACCTACAATGGATTTTAGAGCACAATAGGTGTGTCAACAGAGGAATATGAGCAAAAAAAAAATAATTTATCTGCAGGAAAGGAGTGGAAGAATGCTGGAAGAGGTGTTAAGGCAAGAGGAGAGGTAGAGCCAAAATTAAAGTGCAGGTATAAACAGGGGAAGATTAGAAAACAGTGTGTTCTGGGAAGACATAGGAGCCTGTCACACAGCATTTGTAAGTTACTGAATTTGGAATAACAAAAGAAAATGGGACTTCAGCTCCACTGTTTGTGCTGACTGGAGAAAAGATGCCAAAAAAAGACCATAAAGTAACTGGAGACTAAAGGACAGCATAGGTGTAAAGAGGAGCTTGGGCAGTGAAAACAATGAGGCTGAAACAGAAGAAAACATTACTTCCTACAGAATGTTATCAGCTTGAACAGACAGTGTTTGAAGGAGGTCAGAGTCAAGCATGCTAATTGGATTTTCAAACAGCATGAGTCATTTTTAGGGCCATTAATATCTCCAATTACACTTACAAACATGTCAGGAATGTGACTGCTCTAAGCACAAAGAAATTCTCACTGCCATCACCAATTTCCTCTAAAAACACGGACCACTGCCTGTGGCTGAAGGCTGCCTCTGATGTTATGGGCATCTGAGACACTTCATGCAGACTAGTGGGCTCAAAACAGGTCCTGCACTCTCACATGCATCCACACAACAGCTTCAGAGAAGGTTTGCTGTTTGTTTCAGAGGCACGGCTGCGATTCACCACTTACTTCAGGAAGAACTGGACATCACTGTTATGGAGCTCCAGGAAGTTCTCGTATTTCTTAGCATAGGCTTGGAGGGGGATCAGTGCCTTCTGAAGGGCAGACTGCACAGCCACACGCATTTCTTCCACTTCTGGTTCATGAAGGTCCACTGACTCCAGAAAGGGTGTCCCTGTGACAGGTATGTTCTCCACCACGTACTGGAAGAGGAGGGATAGAGCTCTTTCGGGACTAGCACAGCCAACCACGGTCCCCAAAGAAGAGGTGGCATCTTTGGGATGTCATCCTTCTACAGTGCCTCAGAAATTATTCTACCAGTGTCATGGTACACCCCAGAGAGAAGGATATAGAGAGCTTGGTCTTTTATAATAAATGGGAGAAGGATACATACGCAGAAAAGATCTGCACCACACTGCTGGCACTGGAATAGGTGCCAGTTCCTTTATGAACCTATTTTTGCTAGCTGCCATGAATTCAAAACAACCAGGCTACTTAGGACATAAAATCATAGAATCATAGAATCACCAAGGTTGGAAAAGACCTAAAAGCTCATCCAGTCCAACTGTTCACCTATTCCCAATAGCTCCCACTAAACCATGTCCTTCAACACAACACCCAGCCTTTCCTTGAACACCCCCAGGGTCAGTGACTCCACCACCTCCCTTGGCAATGTCTCTCCATTGAACCTGCTACTTCAAAAACAGAAGCCATGCAAAATAAAGGGGTGCACAGCATGGAGAAATCCTGTTAGAACTGTATTAGCACAGTGATGTGCCCAAACTAATTAAACTGGATTGCCCGCTACCGACTTCTGCAGCTGTCTCCCTCAGTATAGGCTTGAGGGTGTCTATGCCCAGCTGCAATACAGCCTGCACAGCTGTATCACTATGGATGCAGAATAGTCACCTTCTCCAGCTGTGGGATAGCGTGAGTCACCAGGATTCCCTTGTCCAACAGAGAAAGGAGGGATTCCTTAAAACTCTCTGCTGGGGGGCTGAAGTGAACACCACTGTCGTCGAGCACGAGGTCAATAGCAAAGATTGGATTCCTTCGAGGCCTGCAGTGGGAGGAGACGAGGAAGAGCAGGGATGTTTTTTGAGACGACAGTACACAACTGATGCTAATACCTAAACACCAAGAGATGAGAGCAGAGAAGAGGAGGACACCCCTATGCAGATCAAAACAAGAAAACTGCATTCTGGTGTTACCAGTAAGGGCATTGAGACCTCTCATCTGAGCAGGGAGAAGGAAGTGGCAATCATGACATCCTAAGACCCCCAACAGTGATCACCCTGTAGAGCTGCGTAAAGCACCTGCAGAAGACCTGCAGACACTTTTCAAAGCAGGCATTCATCCTTTTCAAAACACTCCCAAAATGCACTTCCCAGAAATGTATGGAGCACTTCCTCATCTCACGTGGCACCAGCCCAGATCACGATCAGCTGAAGTTAGCGTAAAGACTTCCACTGGTTTCAAAGTCTCTGGTAAAAGCCCCACATGAGTGGCTTCAGCTTCAAAACGTTCTATTTCTAAACCTCTCCTTTTAAAATGACAATTTTATTTTATTTTTTTTTTAATTTTAAAATACCCAGAGGAAAAAAAAAAAATGTGGGCACCTTGACTGAATTCAGTATTCTTTAGGACATATCTTAATCTTGAGTTTTAACACAAGAATGGAATTAAGCATCCATAATGCCTCTTGCATTCTTCTTCCTGGCCTCCAATAAGTAGTTAGCAGTAATTACTTGCTCCTTTGAGGACGCTGGACATGGTTAGTCTTTGGAACATTAAGGTAAGGTAACAGACCTTGGTTTTGCTGTGCTGTCTCATCTCACTAAATCAAGTACACTTGAAATCTGTACTAGCAGAACGACAATCTTTGTGTCAGGCTCCCAGACCCATGGGAGTATGTGAGGTGGGGGAGCAGGGAGCAGCCTAAACCCCTCCTGCAGTGCAAAGCTTGCTTGCAACGACAGTACTCAGAAAGGCAACGGCACTTCACTTTTCTGCTCTTTCCATCCTTTGACCTTCTTTTCTCTCCCTTCCTTACCTGTAGGGACTATTGATGAGGTCATCTCCCCATTCCATATCTTCTGAGCAATTCAAGATACCGTGGCAAGCATCCAGCAAAAACTGGATGAATCTGAGCAGTGAGCTCTGCACCAGGTAGCGCACCGAGTCCTGCAGGATGAATTTGACGCGCTCCATCAGCTTACGTAGTTTGGACATCTGGTAGACATCCCAGCTGCTCTGCTCCAGGTTGTACCAGCCTTTGCCTGCATTTCTCAGGCCGATCTTCACTGCGGTCGTGAGCGTATTGATCCAAGTATCCTTGAGAAAAGCCTGCACCTAGGGCAGAGAAACAAAGTGAACTGTGTCATCTTCCAAGGGCTGATGAAAAAGCAGTATGGTCGGGATAGCTGGGTCTCTCTGTGCAAAGTAACTGAGTAGCACTATTTTAGCTGTGGTGGCTCTCCATGCACACACATGTGGCATCTGCCTCAGCGTACACCTTCACTGATAGACATACAAAAAGAAAGCCCAATATTAAAAAGCAGGAGAGCTCTGTTCTTTCTTTTCATACAGTCTTCCCTTTTTGTTCTCTTTTCTATTGAGCAGTATCCCTGGAGCTGTCTGTGTCAGGGTCTCTCATAAAAAGTTGCATAGACAGTATGATGAGCAAGTAAAGGACACACTGTTGTCTTCTCTTGACAAGTGAGGAGAAGGAGGGAAGTAGCCAAGGGCAGCGAGCAGCCTGCAGTGTTTTCTTTTATTAAAATACCACCAAGTGTCACTTCTGCTCCACAGGCAGCTGCTGCTTGTATGCAATAACACAACCTCAGTCACTCTGCAGATGACAGCACTGCCAAGCTGAAGCAGCGTGGAACTGGGAAGGACCCATACCTGCTCTCTGCCCCGATTTACTGCAGAAGCATCAGTAAGCTGTGTACTGTGCATGGCCATGTTCCAGTGTGCAAAGTGCTGTCCTCATTTAGAGAGCGTGAAAATCTTCTGGTGAGAGTTATTACAGAGCTGCAATTTTTTTTTTTGTCCTAGTCTATTGGCATTGCAAGCGGAGTAATCTAATTAAGTACATAAAGAACATAGAGTGTAGGAAAGCATTACCCCCATGAGCCTTCAGGAGAAATCAGAGCTCTTATGCTTTGCAGCTGAAGGGATGGGGAAATAAAAGCAAATGGGAAACCTGTAATTGCCAATCAGGACTGCAATCTGCATGAGAAAAGGAAGAGGAAAAAGGGGTTCTGCAGCCCTATGTGGCCACTTGACTGAGGCATGACCAAGCTCATGGACAGCACTGGCTGACGCTGCCTAGAGGGCCTACGGCTCCTCTCACCTGAGTGAAGGTCTGGGTCTGAATCTCTTCAAATTCCTCCAAGCTGACATGCTCAGCTAAGCTTGTGTTAAACAGAGACATGGAAGCTGCCTTGTTGCACTCATCTTGCACCTGCAAAAGGACGAGGACGGCTTCTGGCTTTGTCAGGAGCGAGACAAAATTGAAGGCTGCTTGCTGTTTGCCAAAAGGATAGTCTGGGATGCAGATGAGCCCTGGCAACAAACAAAAGAACACATTACTGCCTGCAAGGGCATCTCAGTTTCTGCTATGGAGGAAGAGTACAGCCCTGTTTTAGGACACAGTTTGTGAGAAGGACTTGCCCCAGGTAGACTCATGCAGTTTCAGTAGATGGCTGGATGAAAGAGTGGCTGTTCTGCAGCAGTGACTTTCTGAACGCTTCCATAAGGGGCTGAGAGGAACTCGTGGTCCTCAATGCTCCCAAAACTTTGGCTCATGACATTTCCTTGATTGAGAGAACAGGACTGGCAAAATCTCCTCATTGAAGATACAGCTGAGTCATCAGTGAGAGGCTACTTATGAGCCATGTCAAGGTGTTCCAATTTTTGGAAGATTTATTGCACAAGATACTCTCTCTTATGTAGTCATGTCACACAAGTGTGAGAGCCTGAAAGAAAGAGCCTGAAAGAGCCTGAAAGAGCCTGAGTTCTTCCATGTCTGAGGTATGCCACAGCCGAGCACAGCAAACAGAAGGAAGTCAGTCCTAGCTTATTGCAGTGAAAGACAGGTAATTATACCACCATGCATTTGGTGCCATTGAGGGTGCAGATTTACTGCAGCTTAGATGATGGATGATAACGTGTTACAGGAAGGTAACATGAACATGCAAGTACACCCCAAAAAAGAGGGGGCATACTCAAAAGTCTGGTAACATTTCCTCCTGCTGTCCCTTATGAGCACTAATCACCACTGTGAACCTGAGAGTTTCTGCAACAAAGCACAAATCCTATCACAGAGATTCTACAAGCATGCCACATTCAAACTGCTCCACCATTTCCCATACCTTTCTCTGGTACTTTCCTCTCCTCTTTGTCTGGCAGGGTGACATAAGAAAATATCTGAGGTTTGGAAGTGATTGCTCTGTCAAAGATCATCCTGTTCATAGCGCGCTCATAGTCTAATTTCACTTCTTTCTCCAGACAGCCCAAGCAGCCTAACACTCTGTTACAAGACATGGAAACAATGGTAACCCACAGTGTCAGAACAGAAGCCAGATTGTAGCTCTACTGCAAAACCCACCTTTCCTCCCTCCCTCCCTCCCGTATTTGCTCACTTACTACACACTAAGACAGCTGGAACAGCCAGCAGAGCTTACAATCAGACATTTAAGTGAGGACCTGAAACTAGGACTGCAGCTTTCTTAAGTGTCTTTTCAGATCAATGCAAAATCTCCACTGAGGGCATGCAGACTGAGCAGCATTACAGAGAGAGGTGTAAATAACCAAGAACTGAAGAAGCTTGCTTGCAATTCTGGAAGAGCTGGGCTATCTGGGACATCCCCCCAGCTGCCTCCTGCTGAGCATCTATGCATTTATGATATGTTCTAGTTTCCTCAGCTAGAACATGCATGTAGGTGCTGAAGCCCTGCTCTGCTTGACCTAGGCAATTGTCAGCTTCCACCTCAGGCAGGCATGGCACTTTTCTTTCTGCCTATATTTCTGCACACAGACAGAGCCTAATTACTCACCTGCTCTACCTCCAAGGTTCGCAGAGCATGAAGCCCCTCACACCTTCCTGTCTCTGAGCAGGGCAATAAGTCATGGCTGATTCTCAGCAACACCACTAATGGCTCATGATTCATCAACCCAGGGACTCTTAAAACGCCTCCCTGATATGAACTGCACCTCAGAGAGACACTTGATTATATTCAGGTGGAGATCTTCTGTTCCATTTGCTTCAGCCTGTGCAGATCTTTCGATTTGTTTATTAGAGCAGTTAACAGGTAGACGCGTCACCAGCAGACAACAGCCATTTCTCTGGAGACAGATGGTGGTCTGCAGATTAATTGAGAAATGACTGATCTGTGCCACCAGAAGCTCAGGAAGATAACAAGTTCAACCAGGGCATTTCTGTCCTACTTTCTGCTGCTGTAGGTCACTTAACTGCAGCTACAAGGATGTCTCAGTGGATCTGCATGCAAAGTGCATCTCCCTCACCTGGGAACACCAACAGATGACCCATCCTGCACAGATGCCACTGGGGCTCTCATCCTACTTAATTCTGGTGACTCTCTGGGTAAGAGAGTGATTTGCACATGCTGAAAACCAGGTGAAACCCATGGGCTGAGCTGGATGCTCTAGATCTGCCTCAAGTGCCTCTTGTTCCATCAATCTATGAAGTCCTACAATGTTAACTGGTTAAAGGCTGAGACCCAAGATAGGTACTTGATATTTTACCTGTTCTTCTTCAGTTTGGGTGTATGCAGAGCCCACAGCTTCATTTTCTCCAGGCTTGTCTCGCTGATGCTATTTAGTCCATCTGTAGGCATGCAGTCCACATACAGGTGATACAGGAGCAGCATCTGTGTCTTTTTACGCAAGAAGTTGGCAGAAACTATTCTCTGTGCAAACACCTGAGGATCTTCAGCCAGAAACATCAGATGAACTCGTGGCACCCAGTACTGACATGGCAGCAGCGGGGCTCTTTCTGAAAAATGAAAATAAGGTTTACAAAATCCTACAGGGAACACAAAACTCAGAACGGTTCGCAATGCTGACAGCAGCTATTTGATGGACAACGTAATTGGGTCAGCTTAATAGAGATCAAAGTGAAGGACCAAGTCAGGACAGCAGGAAGCAAGGAGCATGAAATTAGCAGCATCTCCAAGTTTTTCAAAAGGTGAACGTTTGATCTTAATCTGCCCATGACCCCCCCCAAAATGGTGCTGGCTCAAAGACCAATGTTTCACTTGTTACGAAGGCAGAGAAGGGGGGAGACAGAAAAAGGTAGGAATTCCATAGGGAAGCCCTCAAATAGGTTGTGAAAATGAGGCATGAAGGTCTCTCCCATGAAGGTTTTTCAGGACAGGCTAAACAGATACGTGTCAAGAATAACATTGAGAGGATTAAATGACTTCTTGCCATCACTCCCATCTCTGCCTAGGAACATTGTGAGTAACGTACTGCCTTTCAGGATATGTGCCAGTTCCCCCAAAGCCTTACTTGCACCACCTTCTGCAGTTTTTCCTCCATTAAGGATGGGTCTCCCTTCTTCATCACGCACCAACCCATTTTTATCTAACTTATGCACCAAATAGAGCTTCATCTGCTTGTCATAATCCAGAACACCAACATCAATCCACTTGTAGGTTAACTTCTGGCTGTTGGGGTCCTCTGAGAAGAGAATCAAGGATTAAAACAGGGTTAGTTTTTCTAACTATCCTAATAGGGCTTTTTTAGCCCTTTTCCTGATGGCTATAGCAAATAGACTTTCCTGATCAGAGTGATAAGGCTGCAGTGAAATCAACTTATTAGCTTGAATCTCTGTCAATCTCGGATCAATACCGCTGTGATAACTGAATAACTAACTCAAGTTTCACCACATAGCATTTCAAATTATTTGCACACCCCAGAGCACTCAATTTTCCTCCTCTGAGGAGTGATCAGGTGTGATGTTCCCCAGGGCAACTGTACACACACACATACACACAGCAAGAAGTCAGACACCTAAAATAAGGAAACAGTCAGACTAGGGCAGGACTGGCAGCCATCAAGATCCTCGATCTCTTGCTCTGACTGCTTGAACCTGATCAGTACAAGCTATTGCTTTTCTGCTATTCAGAGCTGCATTCATCAGAAACTACACACTCCCTTCTGCTGAATGGGCCCAACAATGGTTAGCAAAGCAGCATTTGAGAAGTAACTCATTCAGGCTTTACCGTGTCCCAGTACATCATCTGTAGGTAGAAGTGCTTTCCCAGGCACTGGCTTTCTGTCACGAGATCCTGGCTCCAGTCCTAGAGAGAGCCACTCTTCTGGAGTTCGACAGTCATATTCTTCATTGTCAAAGATCTAAAAAGCCACAAAGTGACTGAAATAAAGTCTTCGTGGTACAAAATTTAATGAAAGAAAAATCAGCGTGCACAACAGAACATCTCAAGCTGGAAGGGACCCACAAGGGCCAGCAAATCCAACTCCTGGCTCCACAGAGGACCACCCTAAAATCAAAACCTATGCATGAAAGTGTTGTCTCGAACTCAGGCAAGTTGGGGCCATGACCACTCTTGCCCTGAGGATCCTGTTCCGAATGCCCTATCATCCTGACAGTGAAGAATCTTCTTACAGCATCCCATCTACACTTTCCCTGATGCAGCTTCGTTTTGCTCCCTCAGGTTGATCACTGTTCACTAGAGAGCAGAGATCAGTGCCCAGTCCTCTCATGAGGAAGCTGTAGAAGTTTGTAGTTCCTGAACAGGCCACTAAAAGTGAAAGCAATTAAGGGCAAAAGCTGATATCTGACCAACAGCCTTCTCCCAAACAGCAATATCTTCACCTCTAGTTCTCCCCAAGGGAGAGATCAGCACGTGGATTAGTTCTGCACACACATTCTGCTGATTACTGCATTCAGAAACACCCAATAACAGCACAAACGACACTGTGGAACATCCTCAAGGAGTATTAGTTTAACAGAAAATGTGGTCACTCTGCAAAAGATGCTCACCATCGTGGGGATATCCTTCAGGGCCCAGTGTTCTAAAGCATGGGTGTCCAACCTTTTGGCTTGTGTGGGCCATACTGAGTGTGGTCTTGGGCTGCATATAATGCCTCCTATTTATTTCCATGAAAGTGGCAGCAGATACCAAGAGCACACTAACACTATTCAAAAGAGCAAATTCTCAGCTACAAAGCTGCATTTTTCAACAGTGCCACCATTAACTGCGTTTTTTCCAACCATGAACAAGAGCCTGTACTTGTAAAAACCTGTACCAGCAGTGGGTCACTTCTGCACAAACTATTGCCTCACTGTGCTCACATCTCCTGCTTGGTTTCCATAAACATTCAGCAAGTGTCAATGAATGTCAGCAGGTGCCATTTTTTTTCCACATGGAGGAATTCAATGACACACCTTTTCTTCATGTGCACTTCCATGACAGACACCATTCTGGCAGACTGCCCCTCTGCTGCCATCTGTCACACAACAGCACGTCCTGGAATACAGGTGGGAAGGTTGAATCTCTTCTGCCATCCCACCAACATCTGCCTATGACATCATGGGCCAACAGAATAAAAAAGGAGGCATCGCCTTTGGAGCAGCCTTCACAAAATAGATTACACAGTTAATGTAGGTGAAAGTAACAAAACTTATATTGTTATTTATTTGCAGAGCAGGGGCTGGCCACAGTGCCAGGCTGCATGCAGCCTGCAGTTTGGACATGCCTGCTGTAAAGCACTTAATATTGTTATTGTCAAATCAGTATCCTGTGATCCTCAGAAACATCGTGCAGCGTAAGCAACGAGATCACAAGTGCCAAATGTGCTCTCCTACCTGTAGTGGGAGGCGGATGGGATATTTCTTCTCCTCGATAGCTGGTATGCTGTCAGGATCACAGTGCCTTGGTATCAGCTGATCGGAGTCAATCCCCTCGCTGGCTAAGAGCTGAGTGATATCCAGGGTGAGATACAGCTGTCTCCTCCTGTTGGGAATTGGATAAATGACCATTTAACACATCCAGAAGGGCTTCCAAACCTGTAACGCTGCACACCCTTACAGCAGGATGCAGCAGGATTCCCAGAAGGCAAAGGACATCATCAGAGCTTTAAAATCTAACAGCCCAACGCAATGAAAGCAGGGTTGCAGGAGCCTCCGTTGCCAGCCCACTCCTATTGCCAACAGTAACTTACCTGAGTCAGCTGTGGGCACTGATCTAAGGCAATGTGGAAATGCACCTGGTTTCAATCCAAAGCAGCTGCTGTCTGGATCAGCCCCACAGTGACAGAAAGCTGGATCACAGAACACTCTCAGGGACATAGAGGACTATGTCAGTGTTCTACTCTGTGGATCCTATCAGGGTTGATCTAAAATATTTTTCCAGCAGCTTGCTTTCTTCTCCAAAGAGACTTACGAGGTTGTTTTGTTTGTTTGTTTGTTTTCCCCCCCCCCTTCTCCTTTTTATTTTTTGTCAAATGCAAATCACTTCAGAGACCCACTTCAACAACTCCCTCAATACAGTTGGCTCAGCAGGCAGAACATGGATGTGCAGCAGGAAACCTGCAAGGAGCACTGGGGCCAGGAAGAAGCAGGAACTTGTGCAGCTTTTCTACTGCAAAGATGATGATGAGTAATTCTAAGTTAGCAAGTGCTGTCTGAGAGCTCAGAAGTGATACAAGTCCCATACAGTGTCCAAACTTTTAGGTTGTGCACCCCATCAGTAAAAATTTTTTGAACAGCCCTCCCATACATGTATTTTTATTTATAAATTATATACACATACTCAAAGACCAGTAGCACAGCAGGGCTGCTCTGAAAGCAATGCCTCTTACGTTATTACACTGGAACAGATGTCAGTGGGACATCAGGAGAGGTTGAACCTTCCCACCAATAATGCAAGTGCTTTTGTTGCGTGGCAGATGGCTGCAGAGGAGCAGTCTGACAGAATGGCATCTGACATGGAAGGGTGCATGAAACAAAAGTGTGCCACTGAATTCCTCCACGTGGAAAAAAATGGCACCCGCTGACATTCATTGACACTCACTGAATGTTTATGGACACCAGACAGTGGATGTCAGCACAGCAAGTCAGTGGATGGTGCATTTCAGCAGAGGTGACAGCAGTGTGAAATACAAGCCACGTTCCACACAGCCATGCAGATTGTTATAAACACAGCAATGCAGGCTCTTGTTCAGTGCTGGCAAAAAAAAATTAAAAATGCATAGCTAGTAGTGGTCACCATGTTGAAAAACACTGCTTTATAGCTGAGAATTTGCTCTATCAAAGTGTTTGCTCAGATGCAATAGCTGTGGGCACAAAAATGAAGGAAAAAAGCTGCTTAGCTTCAGAAAGCATCAGGTACACAGGGAGCTCCAGCAAAATCCCCTTGCCTCCACTGCCAATCCTTAAATGAGGTCTGGAAAGGGGTGGGGATCCTCGGGTACATTGCCACTCGGGTACATTGCATGCCCCTGGGTTGGCCCTGTCTTCCCACCAGATCCTCCATCACTGCTTCAAGCTGTGACTTAGTATCTCTGCTACACTCACCTCTCTATTTCAATACTCCGAGGGCACTGCCCTGGAAGCGTTTGGAAGGCAATCTGCACTTTGGGCTTAAACGACTGTTCAGGGAAATCGGACTGGATGAGGTGCTCAGTGGTTGGTCCAATCACTTGTGCATCCAGAAGATTCACAGTATCCTCAGGCATCTTGAAAGTCGTGACTGAGAGACAGAAACAAAGGTCTGAAAGCACCAGCCATCGCTCCACACCCACACACATGGCATGGAAGCCTCTATTGAGAGTGATTGTACCGAATTTTAGTATGTAGGGTACTGACCCGGCTTGGGAGGAACTTGTTTCCATTCCCAGCTTTGACACACGCTGCCAATACCATCACGTACAAAATTCTGTCTCTAGAGCAGCCTCAGAAAGGGGTGGGATTCCCCTGCTTCCCTGAGATGCTCTGAGAGAAAGATTCAGAGACAACATGGAGGAACTTTGAAGAGATGGCCATAAGGGGCTTGTGAAGAGTGCAGGAGAGAACAAACTGCTCAGGCCATCTTCACGTGCTACAGATCCTTCTCACACCTTACTTGGGACGAACCTCTCCTCAGTTACTGCTCAAACACACGTCCCACTCACATCAGCAGTGGTTTGAGATCCACACAAAGTAGAACAGCTAGCAGTCTCACCATTTGGCCAAGAGTTTTCAATGGAAACGTGCACAAAGCAAGAAGTATGTATTTCCAAGAATTGGCTAAAATTAAACCGTGTCATTTACTCCACAAGTAAACTAAATTGTTTACATTGCTAAACAAGCTGCAAAGAATAGAACAGAAGCAAAGTGGGAATTTGAAGCTTAACCTAAATTAAGTAATTGCATGCAAGCTTTAAAAAGCACTGTTCCCTAGACAGAGCTAAGCATTGAACCAAAAATAGATTTTGGTGGAACAAGAGCTCTTCATCTGCTGATTCTTCATTGATATTTGTAAATACTTGACTTGGCTTCAGGTTCTGGCTCACAAGCCACTGTTGTGGATGTCAAGCTCTGGTGCCAGGCTTTCACCCTGCTACATGTGCTCCTGCCTGCATCAGGGTGAATTCCACCGAATTCAAAGCAGTTGTGTACAGCAGCCAACAGTGCTGAAGCCAGACACGTTTCAGGATGATCAGGTACAGAGAGGGTCCTTTATTGCAGCCACCTGCCTTTCTTATGCAGCCCCAACACGACCCTTGTAGCTGTGCATTGTCTGCTCACCCAGAGAGGAGACAAACACTGACCCAACTCCCTTCTCTATTCCATTCTCTTAGGAAGGACTCCTTAAACAGAATAAGCAGGATCCTAACATTTGCATGGTCTACACCAATACTCAAGCTTACGGTGATTTTGAGGAATCCCTAAGATGTTTACTGCAGTTCCTTTAACCTCACACACATCTCTCACTTGGGGTCCTTACAGAACGGCCCTGATTTATATTTGTTGCCAGGGAGCACAGCTGTTCCAATTTTGTCACTCCACTGTTACAAAATCCATGGCACCATCCATTACAGCACTTTGTGCATTATCAACTATTTATGTCAATACTTAGTGTTTCATTTGCATCACATTTCCAGCTTTATAGCTTCTTCCTCCTTGAAGAAGCAGCAGATCATAAATAGAGATCTGTCTCCACTCATTAGAGATGAGTCTGTCTTGTCAAGACTCACTTGAGGATGCAATCATTTGTCCCCACTCATGAAAATAAATGTCACTTCCAAACACAGGAAGGTAGTATATACTTTTACCATCTTTCTCTAGCCCTAAAATCCTCTCTCATGCACACTTTCTCCCCACGCTGCCAGCCTATGATCCATCCCCCAGGAGGCTCTAGGGGCAGGGAGAGGCCTGCCAGATCATTCAGCTCTGTGCCTATGTTTGTGCACCCATAATACACACTCCTGTAAGCAGGTGGGACCAGCAGCTCAGTATGCACAAAGAGCCTTTGCAGCTCTTTGCACTCTGGGACACAGTTGGGTGCAGAATTAATAAGTGAGAGAGAACCACGATTTTGGCTATGGGTATCCAGCTACTGAATACAGCTTTAAAGAGTCCAGTTTCTGGATAGGCAGGGAAAAGGCATTGCTGGCTCCATACCCAGTGATAACACGTGTAAATTCAGTGCTCTCCTGGCATATGACACCACCAATCACCATACAACAAACTCCCATTGACAGCAGTGCAGTCTACCCAAACCTTGGGGGTGAAAATATTCTACCCAAACCTTGGGGGAGAAAAGGGAGCATGGTTTTACCATGTGGTCAGATCACTTTCCTCTACCTCTAGATGAAATTCATTTTTTCAGGCGATACTCAGGCATCTTAGCACCTTTCCTGGCACTGGCAGGGGAAGGAAAGCAGTGCACTAAGCTATAGCCTCAGCCTAGTTGTGAGCACACTCAGTGTAAGCATCCATAAGGGTTATGGCCCATATCCTGCTGTACCACCTCTCAGTGTATTTACCTTTAGGGCTGTGCTGTTCGAGGTCCGCCTGATTTAGCAAAGAAGGGTACGCACGGGGTGCAGCATAAACAGCCTGAAATGCAGTGAGAGAAATGTGAGAGCAGTTACAGCACAGCGGGAGGGGGGGTTTCTGGGTCAAGACAGAGAGTGAGACAATGAAACTCACTTTACCAGAACTTTAGGGATAAATGTGACTGTCAGTAACAACCAGAAGAGGCACACACTCCTGGAAACTTAAGGCCAATGCACAGAGAAGGGGATTTGCCAGCAGAATGCAGCCTGAAGTCAACTCAAATTGTGGATGGAGGGTTGATGAGGTAAGCAATCATCAGGGTTTTACTTCCAAACATTTTCTGCAGTCATAACTGCTCTGCCTTGCCTGCCTTACTGGTAACCTAAACACAGCTACGTCATGAAGACTCACATAGCACTGGCTATAAGGGAAGCAGAACATCTATGACCAGGAAAAACCTCAAGGCTTCACTTTGTAAGGGTCAAGGACTTGCACAAAGGCCTCTGACAGAACTGAAGGGCTGGGATGAGCTGGGATGAAAGCCGTGTTTCTCCACACCAGGTGCAGCTTGTTTTTGTTTCATTTAAGAAAGTCCACGGTAGAAAAAAGAACTGCTCTTTGCACTTACCTCTGAGATGCTGGAGGCTTCTGGAGTGGGGACACCAGAACTATAAGCCTTTTGTCTAACAGTTGAGGACTTTTTTGCCCCCTGGTTGCAGCTATCAGGAAGCAACAAACGCCTTCCTGGTCTGTGGTTCTGACATGAAGCCTCACGGCTGGTACTGGGAGGTTTGGGGCTCCTGCCCAGGGAATTCATCAAATCCTTGTTTACTTCATCCATCTTTTTAGGAGAATGACACTGCAATGCAATCCTGGGCTTTCTAGAGCGAAAAGACATTGAGCCAGTTAAACACTCCATCCTTGGCACTCCTCCACACCCTCCCACTGTGCTGGATATTGTGGGCTTGCTAAGATGAGCGGGTAACAAGGTTGGTTCGACTCCCTGCTTGGGTACCAAGTGCTGCCTTCATGATCTGGGGGCCATCAGTCTCACACAGCTGACTGGATGGCTCAGCAACCCTGGGGAAAGAGTGTTTTATTATGCCAAATGGGTTCTAGAGGGGAAAACCAGCAGCATACACATGAAAAACCGCTTTCCTGAAGCAGCAGGGGCTTCCTGGATCATGGCAGCACTCTAAAGGCTGCCAGGAGGATCTGAGTCAACTGGGACTACAACAGAAGTGCTACTTTTGCTGCACCAAAATCCCTTAAAAACCTTGTCACACTTGACTCCAGTGGGGGCAGGCCACAGCCTGGATACCAACACAGCTCCCAGATGTGAGGCCTGGCCTTTTCATTTAAATAATTCAGGAGAGATGTTTAAGCATTGCCTGACGAATATTAAAATATAGCCAGAAGCTCCTCTCCCTCTCTCTCTCCTCCTGCAGGGGATATTTTTGCTGGTGATCTCAGCTCACAAATAATTCCTATTCTTCCACTCTGGGAGATGCAAGTCCAGGCAAATATCACAGCTGTACGGCTGTATTTTATAAAAACCTTCATGCACAGAGAGATACTAATTAAGAGCAGCCCTCAGACTTCTGACAGGATGGTAATGCAGCCCTTGATTTTAGACTTGTCTAAACACAGAGGTGACTACAGTCACTAATTAGTAGAGCTAAAGCGACACAAGCCCCTCCAGCCTGCAACACACGTACTGACAGAACGATGTGCACAAACCTGCCAAGCTTTTCCCTATAAATTATGAGTCAAAGCCTTCTGTGGTGTCTCTCAAGGATATCTGGAGTGTGATACAGCTTATTCATTAATTCCTGCTCAGGGCTAGACCCCAGCTCCTCACCCAGCCCTACCCGAGGCTGTTTGTGCCCTGCACCCTTCCTAACACTCATGCATCCACCTCAGTCACTCCTGGAGGCCAAGTCCCTGCAACAGACTGCTAAACGGGGGTCCTCCAGCACAGCTGCAGCTAATCCTTACAAAGATCCTGCCTGCTCTTGTTGGCCACAGCTGGTGTGGTGCCTGCCTGGAGTCTTGTTCTCACTTGGAGATTGCAATGAATGGAGTGGAAAACGATGCCCATCCCACACTCTCTGTCAGAAGGGAATTTTTCCCCCCTGAATTTCACCTTGCTGTCCATCTGCACGAATGAATCAGGTACACACAGCGGAGAAAGCATTACATGCATGCCTGAGATAAGAGGGAACAACTGTGCAGGTTTATTACCGTAGGTTCAAGCCAGTGCACAATTTTGAGAGGTTGAGGCAAAAAAGAAATCGGATAATAAATCAAGGTTACCATGATGCGAATCCTTTAAGTGACACACAGCAAACAGATTGCAGAGGTCTGGGAGACAAGATCAATAATACTCCCTCCCCTCCTTTGAGCTAGAAAACCTCAAATCTTTCTCCTCCTAGCTTCTCTCTGGCGCAAGAACTGCAACTTCAGACCCTGAAGAATGAATTTTCCATGGAGGATTTTGGTTTTATTAGTTATTTTATGCTCTGGCCATATCTATTTTAGCAGCCCAGCAGGATTGATTGGTATCGGCCAAGATCCAAGGATTCCTGCCGAATCACTGCTGGGCTCCATCAGGCCGGCTGTTTGGGCACACCAACCAGCAGCAGTGCGGAACAAAGCCCACCTGAGCATCCCTCCTGGGAGAGGGGAGGTGGCAGTGCAACTTGCAGTACTTTGACCTTTTAAGACCTGAATCCACAGCCCATCCAATTCCAAAGCTATCTCCATAAGGAAAGGCTCATCCAAACCCTGAGTCTACTCGCCTTTTTGCAAGACTGGCAATCTCTGCCTGGATCCCTGTGTGTTCACTCACACCTCCACAAAACCCTGAATCCTCCTCTCAACAATCAGACAAAACCCTCCTCGGTTTCCAGCTCTTCTGAAGCCTCCACCATGCACCTGCAGCTGCACAGAGGGAGGGTTGGGTGTTTAGAGCTGCTGCCACCAAACTGACACATCACACCCAAAATAAACAACAAAAGCAAGCCTCCAACATGTTATATGTTACCAAACATGCATACGAGTAAAACAGCTTGTCTGTACATGATACAGCTTGTGGAGAGAGAGAGAACTGCTAAATACAAAGGGAATGCTTCTTTCTGGCCAGCACTCCTCCCAGAGCTCAGCAGGGAAGCTGGTGCTCCCAACAGCTCTAGGAACGTTCTCTGTATTGGTTTAAAAAGTGAGATCCACTCTCTTTTACTCAGCCTAGATGCTGTGTGCAGGGGCCTTTTGTGAGCAACCAGTTCTTCCCTAGCCTCCAGCTCCCCCAGAAATAACAGAGGATGTTTTCCCAAATCTTCACCCTAGGGTGGCCCCGGATGCCTGGGCAGAGGGCACGTTGTGTGTTACCAAGGCTGTTGGCAGCCTAAGGTTTCAGACAGATCTGCTAGAGCAACCTCAGCCAGCGTGAAACAGACAGTGCTCAGGGTTTTCTTTGCTGCCCAAGAGATGCTGAAGCAAAGCTGTACACTGGCACAAGCCCTGTCTGTGTCACACTCCAGCTGCGTGCCACCACTGCTTGGAGCACAACTCTCCGAGCAGTCAGGGTTTGAGCTGCCGACAAGGAGAGCTTTAAGCCAACAAGCCTTCCCATTTTAGCCACAGAAAGCCTGGAAAACCTCCTCTTTCCTGCCTGAACATCAGCTCAGTCAGGCCCTCTCACACCTGAAAAGCATCTTTCCTACCTACACAGGCATGCTGCTCTGTGCTAAATGGAGGTATTTAAACCAGAGCACGTTTTAATGGCCCAGCCGGTACGTCAGTGACAGTGCCTGTGCCTCATCGTGGCAAAACTATAATTACAATTTCTCGGCAAATCCGGGCTTTTACACATCCTCCAAGTCAACCTCCCACGTGTCTCCAACGTCTGGCGGAGCAGGTTGATCCGCTGCCTCTGCGTCTTTCTCTGCTTCGGTCCAAAGCGTCAACAAAACGGACTCAGCCTCTTTCCTTCCACACAGCGTTCAAAACGGCCTAAAAACTGAGACGGAAGAAAAGCGCTTAAGAACCGAGCCGACCCCTAGGCAAGGCTGCCGACTGACATCCGCCCCTCTGCCTTCCGCCTCACCGAACCCGAGCCCGGTTCCGCTCCCCTGGCCCTCTCGGAGCCGACCCGCCGTACCCGTCTCGCGGAGAGCCGCTGCTGAGCGCTGCTAACCGGCGTCCCGTCGTTAGGGGAGGGGCGGCCGCTACCATCCGTCGGGAGGGGCTCGTCGGGGCCGCCCGGGCCGTGCGAGCGGCGGCTGCGGTTGGAGGGACGCGGGGCGGGTGGCATTGAGCCGCTGTGCCGCCACGGGGTCACGTCGGAGCGAGCACGGAGACAGCAGAGATCCACCGCAGAACGCGTCTGCCAGCAACGAGCCGCCGCAGAGCGACCAGACAGCCCTTGTGTCAACAGAGAACTGCTTACAGAGATCCCTCTGCCACCACAGAACGTTTCTGCCAGTGCAGAGCCATCAAGAGCCCCTCTGTCGCTACAGAGCCACCGCACAACCACTGGCAGAGCCACCACAGAACACCTCTGCCACCATACAGCCACCACACAGCCCTGGCTGCCCCCGCTGCTACCACAGAGCGCCCAGCACAGCCATGGAGTGCCACCACCACCACCAGCCCACCCCTGAGTTCCCACCATCACCCAAGAACCGCTGTCACCAAAACACCACTAGGAAGACACCAGTGTCATCAAAAGGGAATAGCAGCTACCGTCAAGCTATCTCAGGGACAGCGTTGCCACTACAGAGCTGCCACCACCACCACCACCACAGGGTCAGCACAGAGACTCCATAGGGCCATCACAGAGCCACCATTGCTACAGAGCCATCACAGATCCACTAGCAGAGACCACCTGCCTCCCAGGGGTTATTTATAGTGGAGCTGATGTACCTATGGACATCCTAGGCCACCACACCTAACTCCACCTGGAGAACATATAATGACTAAGTGGGGGGCAGGTGGCACTGGGTTCAGCTGGGAGACACCCAGCAATGCAAAGGGCGGCAGGGGAAGCATCCTGCCCCCTCCACACTCAGCCCAAACCTACGAGAGAGGGACAGGTTTGGCTGCTCAGGGGACAAGCGGGGCTCCCCGTGTGGTCCTGTCCGGGGGCACGGGGGGCTGTGCCACCAGGAGGCAGCAGAACCCAGGCAATGAGCATCTCACCGTGCCCCGTGTGGGGTTCGTGTCATCCTGAAGTTTGCTGGACAAACCCCCAGGAGTAAGTTCTCCATTATGCCGCTGGCCCCGTGCTTTATTTAATCAAGGCTTTCTTCGATTAAGTGTAATGTGATTATGGTTCTTTGCAGGAGGTCCCAGGGGTGACATTGCAGACTGTGACTCTTGGCCCAGAGGACTCAAAGGGAGAGCTCCACTGTGCTCTCCTGGACAGCCCTGTGCCCCCTGCGGCGGGTGCAGATTCACAGCAGGGCCTTGCCGTCCCCCTGGTCAGCCGTGCTTCATTTCTGACCGAGCTTTCAAAGTATGACACAAAATGCTTCAGTGAGCCAGGAGATGAAAGCGGAGCTGTTTCAATCGGCTGGCCCTTCAGAAACCTGCCAGGCCAGAACTGAAAGCAGACAGGTGTGCGATTGACTGCGCTCTCCAGCACTGTGCTGCAGTGAGGTTTCATTTCCTGACCTGCCTTCAAAAGGCCCTCATGGTTCCCTAGAGACCCACTCCCCAGGTTGCAGCAGGGAGCACCCAAACCCTGTGCAGTTTCCAAAGTTTCAGCGCAGCTGCTTGCAGTGCTGCTGTCTCTGTGCTGCCCCCTCATCTCAGCCTGTGTTCAGATGCTGGCCCCAAAAGTTCAACGCTATCTTCCTTCCAACGCTTCTTCCTGCTCCTTTTCTACCGTGTGTTTTTTCTAGGCCACAGACCTTCCGGTACTTACAGCTGATGCTGAGTTCCCAAGAAACTGGTTCTCCAAAAACAAGCTCCTGAGCTCCTGCAGAACCAGCAGGAGTGACCAGGTCAGCGACTCACCTGGCACTGGTTGTAGTGCAGAGCTGGTTGGAGAGAAGGAAAACACCGCTCTCCCCATCTGACCAAGAAGACCATTGGGGTGGTGAGAGCGTGAGTGAGGCTAAGCAAAGTCTTGACCCACAGTGAGGGGCAGCTCTTGTCTCCCCCATCAAACCAGTTTCACTTAGGGGATGATTAGCATGTGGATAGGCACCAGGAAGGCAAACTGTGACACATGCTAGTGGTTTGCTCTTTCTATGCTGCTCCATTGACAACAGCCTGGCTCCTCTGCTTTCTGTTGTCCGTGAGCTTTTGCATCCGCCTTTCTTCCCCTCCCCTTTCAATCCTTTGGCTCTGAAACATCTATCCTAAACCGATAGCTCAGAAAATACCAGGGCAGTGCATTGCACACAAGTTCACTATTACAGGGAGCAGCCTTCCTCTAGTTATGGGAAGAATAACAAAATACCAAAGTGCCCAACTTGTGTGGACCTCTGAGATGATGCACTGGTTGTTTCATCACTTGCACCTCTCTGACGTGGGTGGCAGGCATCTTCAGATTTAGCAGTTTCCATACCTACCCCACACGCATCTTGCTGAAGGTGTAAACGATCCTCCAAACACGAGGCCACTGGAGAATAAGGCCCTAGATTTCTCTGTCTCCACACCTACGTGTGTTCCCACACACAAGAGAGCATTGATTTAGAGTAAAACACCACATGTTGACAATGTGAACTACATTTGACAGAAGAAACCACGAGGAGGTGACAAAGCAGGGAGAGACAGGAGGAGGTCTGGCTGCATCTTGCTTGATGCCTTTCTCCTGAAGATACAGTTTGATTCTGGGAAGGCAACACCAAGTCAGATTCACCTTTATGCCCCTGCTACTCGTTGCAGCTCTTTCCATAACAAGCTGCTGGTTATCTTCTGTTCATGCAGTGTGGAACTGGTGGAGCAGTTCATACCAGCCAGCTGCAAACTCTTTGCATTCAGACTCCACTTTTTCCTGCAACCTTAAGAAAAGGATGAGATGTTGACCCTGACAGAGCAATCTTCATGTTGGTTAGTATTCTTTCTCATCTCGCACTCACGTCCCACCACCAGTCCGTCCAGAAGGTTTCCCAAAGGAATTTCCAAGAAAGGTGCATGGAAAACACAGGGCTGGCCAGGAAGATGGCAGTGAGAGCTGTCAGTACCACACCTGTACAGGAAGGGAGTAGTGGTGATGGAGGAGTTAAGCAAGATGAGCTCTCAGCAGTGGTGAGCAAGCCTGTAGTAGGTTACTGTTAGCTGAACTGGCCATAAACATCTCTAACACAGTGCTACTGTCTTCTCTGTAAGGCTACAGGATGGCTTGCAGACGAAAGGAGGCTGTTGATGGCTGGGACACAAGTCATCCCAGGTAAGAGTAGTGGGTTCTGCCTCATAAGGAAGCCAATATGCCCAGTCTGTACTGGGGAGGATGTAGCCTGAGAGGTGACATTTCCTGGCACTCTTCAGAAATTTCAGAGTTTCACATACAAACACCCTTCAAGCATGCAAAACACAACACTCAGGAGGCTATAGATAGAACTGCTCTCTTCTAGGAAATACATCACCCGCCTCCGGCAAAAACCATCCTAAAAGAACTGCAAGCCATTTCTGAAAGATACTAGCAGTCTTACAACTCAGGCTTTCCCAGACAACATGCAGGGACTGAGGTCCTCAGCCAGCTGACTTGGTGTGTTCAAGGAGGTCAGGAGGACGTGTGTTGTTTCTTGAATAAGACCTGGGAAATGACTTGAAGGTCTGGAAATTTTCTCTCAAGCTTCAGGAGCAACATCGAGATTTTCGGAGAGACAGAGGCATCTCTGCTCCCTGCTAGGAGTGATTCGGTGCTCATGGCGGGGGGTGGGGAGCCCTGGTTCAGCTCTGTGTGTTAGAGCAGGCTGGTCAGGCTGAGTGCTCTATCTTCTCTCAACAGGTAAGTGCCCACAACCAGCACTGCTCAATCTAATGGATTCCTATCAAAGCATTTCTTTCAACCCACTGGCGCTTTATCAAGGAATCCCCAACCTGCTTGGATTTTTTCCACTCGAAAGCAAGTGCCAAGAGCTGGAATAGATTCTTATCTGAACAATAACACTGCAGAAGCTGTACAGAGCAAGCCTTCAGCCAATGGGCTGAACAAAATAAATGAGCTACATCAAAATGGATGTATTTCTTTGCACCAGGCCTTAGAAGAAATCAACAGAGACAGAGATTAAGGCATGTCAGTGTGCCAGAGTGGTGCCTTTCCACCCAAGAGGACAACCCCATATTTTTGGATTTAGATCGACTTCACAACATATCTCCCTGACATTTGTTTGTTGGCTGATTTATTGCACCAAGTGCCAGCCTGACTTCCTGCCATCAGTAACACAGCGCTGTCAATATGTGGGCATTGAGATCATTTGTCTGACTGGTTCATCTACTCTTGGGGTGCTTTCTCACTTGGAAGTGAACGCTCCCATAAAGAACTGTCTCTAACACAAAGAAAAACCATTAAAAACTATTGGTGGAAAGCAATGGTGTGATGGAACGATCCCATAGCACCCTCCTATGATGGCCAAAGAGACCAGCCATAGTTATCAGGCCCAGGTGCCAGCTGCCCCAGCACTGCCACATGCCAGGGGATTCTCAGGTCAGTGCTGCTGCAAGCGACTCATGCCAGCCTTACATGAAGTGACATTTCTGGGGTCTCAGCAGGGAAGCGAAGCTTCAGGTTGAGCTCCCTCCACAAAAAGGAAGCGTCACTCTTAGGAGATGCTGATTCTTTTGCCCAATGTAGGGAACAGAGCTTGAAAATCTGAAAGGAGCCATGGTAATGTTGTTGCTTGAGAGAGACATACAAGGGAGAAACCGGGCAATCAAGACAGAAAAAGTACAGCTTCTAAATGTGTATTGCCATCCAGCTAATTCCTGCCTCTCCCCCAATGCCTCCTCTGCCGATGCTCCAGTCCCCACTTCAATACCTGCCAGGTCCTCTTACAGAGCTGACATTTCCATTCCTGACATTTTCTGCAGCTCCATCTGGGAATTAATGGCCGGATATTAGCAGCGATGGGGCCGTTTATCATAATTAGTCTCATGAAGCTACTAAGCATCCAACTATTTTTCATCAGCACCGAGGAAATAAACTGCAGAATCCAGTAGATGCGACGGACGATTTATTTATTGATTGATTTATTTTGGTCTGTCAGGATGCAGCTTTAAAGTTTGCAGAGATGAGCAATGCTTCTCCAAGGCGATGACGACAGTGAAGCTGCTCGCCTTGGGTGCACAAGTGGCAGGAAAAAGGCTTTGAACCCCTCTTTGAGACGGTGAGGAGGCATTTGGTGCCCTACATTTGCTCTGCTGCCATGAAATGACAAGTGGCGACAGGCTGAGCCCTGCCTTGACAAGCCCAGGAGGAGAGAGACCATGGGATGGCATCAGGAAGGGAAGACATCTCAAGGTGTGCTTTTTTTTCCCCAAAGGGAAAGAAAATGCTGAGTACAGCTGACCCTGCAGAAGACAGGACGAGGAC